ACTACGGGCATGCGTTCCCTAGCTTGTCTCAGGAGTTTGTAATGCTCGTGCTTGTGAAGATGGACTTAATCTGGCTTTATCCCGCCATGCTGCCTTATCAGTCGGGCTTGATAGCAACGAGTCGTTATCACGAAGATCTCCCAGAAGTTGTATCCAACCGTTTGGGCTGCCCTTCGTCCCTCTCCGCGCCGACGCCGCCTGCCCCGCCTTCCCAGCCCGCCCGACCGCCCCGAAACAGACCGACGTCTTCCTCCACCTTCCTCCTACTCCTCGTTCGTTCGTTCGTTCCTGAGGGGAGAGGGTCGAAGCCTATGCAGGGATGAGAGCGAGAAAGAGCAGGATGGAAACAGAGGCGACGAGGAACCCAAGAGGCACCCCAGAGACCCCAGAACCAGAACAGGAACCCGCCAACGCACCCCCCCAAGAGGAGAGAAACAAGGAGGAAGAAAGAAAGAGCAGGAAATGAGGGAGGCCGCAGGGGAGGAGCGTAGGCAGCAACCCGACGACCCCAGGACAAAGGGCCCCCAAAGGCCCAGCCGCGGAAACCAGGCCCGGAGGACCACCAGCAATTCGAGCCGCGTCCAGCAGCTCGGAATCTCTACACGTCAGCACATCAGACAGAGGCAACTGTGCTGCCGCACTCCCGGCTCAACTCGCATCCCATTCGATGAGCTTCCAGTAATCTCAAATCCCGTTCGGGGTACACGTTGCCCGGCCATCGCAGGCCATCGTCGCGAAGTCAACCGTGACCGGACCAAGGCACTGTGGGCGGCCTTGAGCCGGTTCTGCTGTGCACCATCTGCAGGCGACGCGAGGCTGTGGATGAGCGGGCTCTCTGACTTTGCCGACTCCCTCAGGGAAGCAGCCCTGGTATCGGCCAGAGCGGCGATGGCTTCGGACTCCAGCAGCTTGTATCGCACCAGCGCCTCCTCGAGACTGTTGGCTGACACCGCGCCCAGGATGTCTGGAAGTGCAGAGGCGGCAAACTCAGACAGCATCATGACTGTTTCCTCGGCCCACTGGATGAGCCTGGCAGCGTAGTTCTCATCTTCGTGCGCAGCTTCCTCCGTCAGAGCAAGTGTGGCGATTCGCTTCCGCCCCGCCTCTGGAGTCAAACACTCCGCCTCTGGAGTCAAGCATTCCGCAGACGTCGTAGCAGCAGCTGGGCGCACAGCGCCAACACCTCCGTGATGGGCGGCACCACCACGTCCCCGATTATCGGCACCCGCATCTTCACGATGAACGGCACCAGCACCTCCGCGAGGCTTAGCACCTCCACGAGAATCGGCACCAGCGCCTCCTACATGATCTGCACCAGCACCTCCTCGATGATCGGCGTCGGCCCCTCCACGGTGACCGGTAGCATCCGCTCCACGCAGATCGGCGCCTCCACGATAATCAGTTCCAGCACCTTGACGAAAAGGATCGGCGCCAGCATCGGCACCTCCTCGACGATCGGAACGACGATGAGCAGCACGGGCTCCTCTACGAAGACAGGGACCAGCCCCTCCACGAAGATCGGCGCCAGCACTTCCAATATGTTCGGCACCAACACTATCTCAGATCTGGCGCATGGAGAAGGAGACATGCGCCTCGCCAGAGGAGTTGCCGTGCCCGTGATCCACGACGCAAATGTCGATAACGGCGGCGGCGAAGGAGTTCAGCATGCACGGATCGAAGTGCGGGAGGAGCACGAAATGGGCAGTTATCCGTGTACGAGTTGAGCCGGACCCGACATTGCTTTCCAGCAGCGAGTTGCTCAATTGTTGAAAGCAAGCGGGAGGCGGAAACCATGATGTGAGCCAAAACATGGACGGGGGGGCGGGAGGGCGCGCGCGCGCGCCCGCAGTGGCCTGGACCCAGCAAGTGCTTGGGCAACGGGCTCTCCTCCTCCTCCTCCTCCTCCTCCTCCTCCTCCTCCTCCTCCTCCTCCTCCCCCTCCTCCTCCATTCCCTTCTCATCCTCCTCGTCTTCGTCCTCCTTGTGCTCCTGGTCGTCCTCCTCCCCCTGCATAAGCTGTCCAGTGAGCAGTACACCTCCTAGTCCCGGGCTCCCAGGCCACCCCCTCACGCCCCAAGGGTGCGCGGCAACCAGTTCACCTACGTCAGCGCGGCCAAGCTCACCGCGGCCCCGGCAGGTGGCCTTCAGGGCTACGGCGCCACGGCCCAGGCCGAGGGCACCATCGGCCAGGATCGCACTCCTCGTCGTCGTCCTCGTCGTCGTCGCGGCCAGCACCGCGCTCGTCGACGTCGTCGGCGTCGTCGTCGTCGCGGTCTGGGACGCGCCCGCGTCATCGTCGGCGGCTCGAAGTGCGGGCCTCGAGGATCGAGGCCTGGGGGCCTGCTTGGGGCCTCTCTCGCTGGGCGTCCTCGCGGCAACGGCTGGGCCCGCCTCGAGATGCTGGCTGGGGTGCGCCGCAAGGGAGGGAGGGGGTCCAGACGACGGCAACTGTGCTCAGACGTAGATGCTGACCGGGCCCATCTGGGGCTCAAGGTCGGAGCGTGCGAATCGGGCGAGTCCAGGTCCAGGACCAGCATACATCTCTCCATGAAGCGTTTCGGAATGGTCTCAGAGCTTTCTGGTGCGCTCTGGATAGGCCGCGGCGACCGATAAATGCCCCAGACTCGCCAGATCTCAGAGGTCCCCGATGTTTGCAGGTCCGATGTTGTCTGTGGGCTGCCGTCGTCTGGCACGTACGCCGTCCTGTCCTGGCTGGGCCAAGAAGGCGTGCACACAGATCCTGAGCCCAGGATCGGCTTGGCCACGGTTAGTGTCCTATTTCGGTCGCTGCGCTCTCCTGGCGTCGCGAAGGAGGCAAGACGGCCTGCCGATCCCAAGTCTGGGCCTCGAACGGCCTCTTTCGGGCCCATCGGTTACGAAGGAATGGCCAGTCCTGGATATGGTCCTACTTCTTCCTCCGTCCTGCCTCTCCCCCTGCTCCTCCCCAATCCCCTGCCCTCTCGCCTGCTCATTAACCCGATCCTTCTTCTCTGTGTCGCTTTCCTCCCCCAGCATCCTTCTGCCTGTTCCATTTCTGTTCATCCTCCTCATGCTCCTTTTCATCCCTCCTCCCCGAGCACCCTTCCCCCTTCCACATGGCTCCCTGGCCCCCTCCTCCAGGCAGACAAGCGGCAATGCCGACACGACCAGGGGCTCCCTCGCCAACAGGGGATGTTCTTCTGGGGGCGCCGTCTCGGGTGGCCTCAGGGCCCTCGTCATTCCCCAGGCGCCGACGCCGTCGTCGTCGCCGCTTTCCCAGCAGCAGCGGCAGGACGGCCATAGGAGGGCCGTTCTGAACGGGGTTGGGGCCGTCCTTGGCCGGCCTCCTGGACCGTAATGGCGTCGTCGTCGTCGTCGTCGTCGTCGTCGTCGTCGCCGTCTTGGACGCCGTCCAGGGTCTGCCAGTACCCAGTGCATCTTGAGGACCTGCCTGGCGGCAGCGCAAAGGTTTCACCCTCTTTTGAGCCCTGCCCATGGCCAGCCTTGGACCCCGGGATGCTGGCAAGACGTATATATATATATAGAGAGATATACATATACGTATACATTTACATATATACATATATATATATATATATATATATGTATATGCATCGATGGATGTAGACATATATGTACTCATATCCACTGCGTCTCGAGCTTTCGGGTTCTCTTTCCTGGAAGCCAGAGACGCAGTGGATATGTAGAACATCTGCTTATAGAGAAGCCCGCCGCTGATCGATGTCCACTGATCGGGTTCTTGGCTGCACGGGAGGCCACTTTGGGGGTCAATGGGTCAGGGAGACTTCGCGTAGACAGTGGCGCGAGACGTTTCGTTTCATCGGTCTGCAGCCACAGGACACTGGCAAGTGCATCTCTGCGCCAACGTGTGTGTGTGTGTCTGTGTGTGTGTGTGTCTGTGTGTGTGAGTGTGTGTGAGTGTGTGTGTGAGTGTGTGTGTGTGGGTGTGTGGGGGAGGGGGGGGTGGCTGGCTTTTCCACCAGAGTGGTAGCAGAAATTAAACGTATCACAGGCTTCTTACACACGCCTTACGCTGCCGGCGCGGCACGGCAACTTTGGTTCGTGTTGCCATCGTTTGTGCAGTCGTCTGTTATGGTTAATAGCGCAGGCGAAGGCCCGAGATTTGCAGTCACCCGTGGGTGCATTCTGTGTCATCCAGTCGCATTCGTTGGGCTTGTTGCGCACAGTGGTTCTTTGTGCAGTGGCGAAGTCGGTTTGGATGCAGCAGGCTGTGGTACAGGGTACAGTCATCTCGCGGTCACCCTGAGTACAGTCAGCCACATTCAGAACAGGCGCGTTAAAGCCCCTTGTGGTGCAGCCTCCCGTGGCACTGTCGCTTCGCAACTACATTCGCAACACCATGTTCGACACATCCACTCTACATCAACCTGACGTTGTTCAGACAACGTTGGCACGGCAGCCTTACCAACGGAGGTTGTGACAATGTCGAGTGGTAGTGCAAAAGGCGGTGGCGCAATCATTGTATTGAATCTGACTTCTCCAAGTGTACAATCATCCAAGAGAAGGGGGAGGGATGGGGGAATGAGGGCGGGGTGGGAGGCACATCTTCGTCGTCTTCGTCATCTGCAGGACAAGAGTGGATTCGTCACCGTCGCCGTCGCTGTCCTAGCCGCCTCGTCATCGTCCGCATCCTCGCATACCACGGCAATGTTGGCTCGAGTGCACTCGCTAGCGCGTATGCAAGATTTGCGATCAGTTTGAAGACTCAGTTCTTTGTGAAGCCAGCTCAAAGTGTTCGGAACTCGCGTTCCACTCCATTTGCAGGCTCTGATGTTGACCCCTCGGAGTAAGAGGCGTAATTCGAGGAGTAGGAAGGGGAGGACCAGGTCTGTATTGCTCTAGCCGTTCCGGGTTGCACAGAGGCGGACCCCACAAGCAATTTGTCGCACACGCTTGACGTTGAGAAGCGGCGGTGACCAATTCGGTGAAGACGCGCGGGGTTGACATCTAAGCCTGTGCTCCATTCCATATCATACGCGATGGCCCAGACCATCGATATCACGCAGATTTGGGCGGAGCAGATGCCCGAGATCGCCCAAGTGTGTTCCCAGAAGCAGCCCAGCGGACAAAGGTTCGTCCCCTCCTCCTGGCAAAGAGGCAACCATCCGCTTCCATCTCCCTCCCGCATCCATCCCCTCCGCCCCTCCCCTCCCCATCCCCCGTTCTTCTCCCTTCTCGCTCCAACTTCCCCAGTTCACCTTCTCTCTCTCTCTCTCTCTTTCGTTGTTCCCTCCGCCCTCCTCTCTCCTCACTCCGCTTCTCCATCTTTGGCGAACGTCGACTTGACGCCCTCTTGCGCCGTCGTGGCACGAACTCCCTCCCGGAGCCGCCCCGGCCTCCTCCATCCTGCCAAGTTCCCCCCTCTTGCCTTCTCCTGCTCTCTCCCTCCTGCTGCTCCGTCGATCCCCATGGCGCGTCGGATTTGGACTTGGATCTGGAGGCCGTTGAGTTCGCCGCCAATTCTGGCTCCTACGGGTAGAGAGCGCAAGTGGGTGGAGGGAAAGTGCCGCACTTAACCTCCATTCGCGAACGACACCAGGCAAGAGGGTTGAAGCACGGGCGGCATATCAGGAGGTGGGTGGATGCAATGGTTTCGGTGTAGAGGAGCCATGTGCATAACACGCACACGTGTACCACAGCAGCTGACGTCGAAGGGGACGCACCATCTCATGAGATTTAGCAAGTCGGACAGACCAAGCATGCGGGCGATACACGACAAACAAAGTCCACAGGAGTGGAAACAGAAATCTTGACGAAGGCAGGATGGGCGCACCTATTTTACCCGCTTCACTGGAAGCTACGTGGCAACTCTGCCGCTGACGCTGCGAACAAACCCCGCAGTCACGGATCTCCGCTCTGGAGCAGCGGGTGAGGTCATTTATCGTTGCCCGGCTGGGCATGGCCGATTCGAAGATGGATGTTTGTGTTACCGAAGGGTTTGTCGCCGTTGTTGCCACACATCGGCCTTCAGTTCAAATCTGCCAGCGGCCTCGCGTGCATGACTCCGAGCCACTGACGGCCCAGCAGTGGGAGCCGCACCGTTTCCCAAAGATGGGGGGTGCTGACCCACATTGCTGGCGTGCTGGCTGCAGAAAGGGTCGTCCGGTCCGTGCCGTGCACCCTGGCTGCCAGGCCAGTCGGCGAAGCGGTCGGGTTACCTTTTTTTCTTTGTGTCCTTCTATGCCGCCCTCCCCTTTTTGATCGGTGGCTGCGTTACGTCAACAGATTGACGCGTCATGGTCGCATGTCAGGTGCAATTGCACGCATGCAGATGCAATTGCAGATGCGCGCCTCGGTCGCATCCGCCCCGCCCGCGACCACCTTGTGAGCCTGTTCCTCCGCGGTGAGCTGTTCCAGTGGCTCGGGGAGATGGTATGTTTGGCCTGTCGTACGGGCACTTTTGTTTGCCCTGTCAGGGCTGAGACCTCATTAGCAACGATAGGGGGGGATGGGCGCCGGGGGGAACACATCGACCTCACATCGCCCATAGGTCGCCGATGGGGGCCTGATAGCCCACCCCGCCAAAACGTGCGAATTTGCTATCGGCGCCTGTCGCCGATCTATCGGCGATGACTCACCCATTCCAAATCGATGTTTGCCCCCTCGCGGGTCCCCCCTGACGTTGCCTCGGAAGACCGGCTGCTCATGCGCGCGACAATTGGCCCGAGCCCACAGAGCGCGAATTTCATGTGGAGCCCCTCGACGCTGGCATCGTCTTCGCCTCATGCTCGCTGAGCGAGTGGCCAGGATGGGCACGTCGAGCATCCTCGTACCGATGCCGCTGCCAAACCTTAAGGCGACTGGACGATCTTCGGGCCTGTCAGCACGGTCCCTGCGACAGTGGTCGATGTGAGCATCTGCGCCTCGAATGCGCGAGGGAGAGACCACCACAACCGCTGGGCTGAGAGAGCCGCGTCTCGCGCCCAGCTAATGCCGAACCCGACCCCCCAGCGTGAGGTGGGGAAAAAACACAGACACAATTCTTCACGCTTCGCGTATCCCCACCAGCCCATCTCAAAACAGCAACTCTTGCGAAGCATGCCGACAGTCGTGTTTTTCAGGCGTGTGTCCGCCTGCCCCCGCATATCTCCGGGCCTCTCGTCCTGGTGTGAGTCGTTCGGGCCCTTCTTCCTGGTGTGAGTCGTTCGGGCTCTTCGTCGTGGTTTGAGTCGTTCGGGCTCTTCGTCCTGGCGTGAGTCGTTCGGGCTTCTCGTGGTGTGAGTTGTTCGGGCCCTTCGTCCTGGTGTGAGTCGTTCGGGCTCCTCCTCCTGGTGTGAGTCGTTCGGGCTCCTCGTGGTGTGAGTCGTTCGGGGCCCTCGTCCTGGTGTGAGTCGTTCGGGCTCCTCGCGGTGTGAGTCGTTCGGGCGCCTCGTCCTGTGTGGGGCCTGGTGTGTGTCGTTGCGCTTTTTTGTGTGTGAGTCGTTCGGGCTCCTCGTGGGGCCTCTTGGGGGCCTCTTGGAGCCTCTTGCCTCTCTCTTGGGGGCCTCTTGGGGGCCTCTTGGGGGCCTCGTGGGGCCTCTGGGGGCCTCTTGGGGGCCTCTTGGGGGCCTCTTGGGGGCCTCTTGGGGCCTCTTGGGGGCCTCTTGGGGGCCTCTTGGAGGCCTCTTGGGAGGCTCCTGGGGGCCTCTGGGGGCCATCTTGGGGCCTCTTGCGACCTCCTCTGAAGCGCAAAGGAGCGCTGCCCCCTGAGAAGGACAAAATGAACCCAAAACCTTCGTAAAATCAATGATTTTGCTATGAAGGAAGATGAGCGCGGCCCTCTCAGGAGGCCAAAATGGTGCCAAAACCGTAGTAAAATCAATGATTCTGGCTTCAAAGAAGAGCAGAGGGGCCAAACTCGGTCCCCCCGTCGGGGCCAGAATCCTCGTGAGGGTCGTCGTTTTTTGGCCCTCCCAGGAGTCGAAAAAGACCCCCTTGCCACCACCCGGGACTCCCTGTCCAGGTCCAGGGGGAGGGGGTAGGGGGAGGGGTAAACCCCTCCCCGAAGGGGAAGAAGGGGGTTGAGAACAGAGAGAGCTCCCTAAACCACTCACGCCCAAAGAGCTGGTGGGATTAATCGTCGACTCCCAGGAAAATATGGGAAAATACGGGAAGTGGGGGGAAGACAAAAACCCCGAACATGTGGGAAAATATGGGGAATCATTTGATTTGTGTGCATTTATTTGTGTGTGTGTGTCCTTGGGCCCCTTCACATCGCTGCTGACCCACGTGCGATGCTCGAAATCGGGCGCCGCGCGTCCGTGGTGGGCACGGCCCTGCCGCGCCGTGGCCGCTCTCGCGCGGCCGCGGGCGTCCTCGGCCTGCGCTCGCGGTCGCTCGCAGCCGCGATCGCGGCTTCGCCGCCGACGTCCTGACGCCGCCAGGGTACCTCGCTGCACTCGGGGCTTGAGGTCAATCATACATCATCGAGGACATTAAGGAACAACAGTCCGCAAACTGCTTCGGGGGCCGAGCCAAACTATTCAGAGCGCGCTGCCATGACATCGGAGCTCTGTGGAAACGCTGATGCACTCTTCTTGCCCGTTGCCGGACGCGGGGGCCCTCTCACGCATCGACCTGCGGCTGCCGCCCTGTGCCGTGCCTTCGTTCTCTCCGAGGTGGGGTCAATCCATCTCGTGGGCAGGAACACGACCGTGGTATGATGTTCGCGGCCGCCACAGCAGGTCGTGCCTCCACTCCCCCCTCCTCCTCATGAGCACTTCCACTCTGTCGCACCACCAGCCGCGTGAGTAGGGCGGACCGGGCGCTTCGCCTGAGACATCCTGACCATTGATCATCCTGCAGCTTAGAATTCGCAACAGCTTCACGGATGGCGGGCGGGGTATTTTCAAAATGCAGTTCTCGCTGAGGCGCCGCGCACATTCGTTTCAGAAGTCCGCAACCGCTTCACGGATGGACTGCGGGTCCTTTTCAGAATACGTGTCTCGCCCTAGCGCCGCGCGCATTCGCTGTGAATGTTCGCAGGAGTTCCAAGGATGAAGGGCGGGAAGTTTTCAACATATGGCCCTGGCCATAGCGGTACCCACACCCGTCTTGGAGTGAGCAACAGTTTTAAGGATAAACGGTAGGCCACTTCCAGAATGTGGTTCGTGCCTGAGCGCCACGCAAACTTTCTGTGAAAGTTGCATCAACGGTAAGGATGGAGGTTGGGTCAGTTTCAAACTGTGCCTCTCGCTTTAGCGACACCTGCATTCGTTTGAAGTCCCAAGCATGGTGTTCTGGCGCGATTGTGAACTGCGGGGTTGGAGTCCCAGGAGTGGTGTTCGAGCACGTTTTAGGACTGTCACGATGATTCGCGGCGCTGACCCAGGAATGGTGTTCTCGCATGGTTGAGGATTCTCAGATGGTGGTTTTCCAGAGTGAAATTTCCCGCTATATATACACATACATACATACATACATACATACATGCATGCATGCATGCATGCATGCATGCATGCATACATACATACATACATACATACATACATACATACATGTGCACATGTATTCTTGTAGGGACTTACGACGACGGAACTCGGAAGGAGATGTTTTGCAGCACCGGTGATGCGTCGCGTCATGGGTTTGCATTGGTCCTCCTCTTCCTCCTGCCTCTTCTTCTGGTGTCTCCTCATTCCTCCTCCTGCGTGTGCTTCCTCTCTTTTCTCCTCCTCCTTCTGATGTTCGCCCTTCTCCCTCTGGTCCTCGCCCCCCGCCCCCTCGTCCCCGAGCGCAGGGGACGAGGATGAGGGGGAGAAGGAACGCTTCCCCTCTCACGGGAGACGCGGATTGAGGCTTCCGGCGCTGTGATTTTCACACAACTTCGCTTCCCGGATGTCGGAACCCTTTCCTTGGGACCACATGCTCATCCACAACGGTTTTCTGATGGTCCTGGGGCCCAGCAGAGGCCCCCAGAGGCTGAAAACGGCTGTCTCGACTCATTCACGACGCGGGGATGTCAGGGGAGGGGGTGGGCGGGGGGTGCGGAGGAACACGCCATGCCTCCTTCCTGCGGTTTTCGCCCCCTCCTCCACCCCACCCCTACGCGGGAAGTTCTGCTCCCGCCCTGGGTTCTGCCCTTGGAGGCCTCCAGAAGACTCCCCCCAACACGCGGTATGTTTTGCTCCCGCCCTGGATCCTGACCCTGGAGACCTCCAGAGGCTTCCGCAGGACCGACAAGGCCAACACCGTCCGAAATCCCCCCCTTCCGTCCAGCCCTCAAGGGTCGAGGGAAAAAATTGGCAGGAGGGGTCGGGGTGGGGGCGAGGAGGAACGCCTCCTCCTTCCTTTTCGCTCTCTCTCTCTCTCTTTATCTCTCTATCTCTCCTCCTCCTGCTACATCACTTCACGAATCCTTCGGACATGCTCCTCTCCTGCCCCCTATCTCCTCCACCTCTTTCTCCTCCTCCTCCTCCTACTCCTCCTCGTGCTCCTCCTGTCGCTGACGCTGTTGGCTCCAGAGACGATTACGACGCAGCCATCCCCCACCCCAGGAGCCGTTGCCTCTGGGGGAGGTGGATCAAACTCGCTTATCTGTGGAAGAAGCACAGCGACACCCGGGGGAGGGCCCCACCAAGGGGCAGAGCAACCGCATTCCTCCTGCTCCTCCTCCCCGCCTCCTCGCCCCCTCTCTCTCTTTCAGGGGCTACCGGGACGCCCGCGGCGCCGGCCACGACAGCGACGGCTCCACGGGCGCGGGCAGCGGCTCCAGCGGCCGCGCCTCCACGAGCGACGCGTCCTCCTCGAAGGACGGTTTTGCGGGCAGGATGGCAGATGGTCTCGTGCCCCAGGCATCTTCCGACATGGCGCTTTGAATCCGCGGCCCCAGAGTTCCCGACACCCTCCGCAGGGCTAGTTCTTGCGTCCCGGATCCATGTGTGATGGTCCCGTGGCCCGAAGGCGGCCCGCGAGAGTCGAAGTCCAAAAAACACGCCCGGATTGAAACATCCATGTAGCACCGCGCGATTGCGGATGAGAGTGAGGGGGCGGGCGCGGGGTGGGCCGCGGATGGGTCGTGGGGTGGGTCGCGGGGGGAATCGCAGGGGGACGCGGGGGGGTCGCGAGCGAGAACGAAGATCGACAACAAACAGCAACATCAACAAGCAACAACAAACAATACCAGACCAGCGGAACCTGCGCCGAGGAATCCCACTTCAGCCACGCACCCAGGGATGGTATAAGACATCTCGGTCCCCTCACTCTGACATCGCTCGAGTCGAACATAGACTACAGAATTGCTATACCCCAAAATTGATGTGTCCGTCGAATCTAGAGACAAAGATGTAGATGCTCCGCATATCTACCAACGCTCTACGCACCTTCTGTAGACTCGACGAAGATAGCAGTTCTGGGGCAAATCCATTCTGCAGTCGATCTCTTGCAGTCAAAACCGATGGCAATGATGGGCTGCCTTCCAAAGGGTACCCTTGCATCCTTGGCCCCCTGACCCATCCTTAATCACTCTCGATGCCCCGCTCGGCGAGCTTCGGCATGGGCGGCCAAGGCGCTTGCGTCCTTCTCGCGCACCCTCACTACCAGCTTGGACTCGGAGCGCTCGAACCCTCGCACCTCGCGCAGCCTCGAGCCCTCGAAGCCTCGAACCTCGCGCAGCCTCGAGCCCTCGGAGCCTCGAACCCTCGGAGCCTCGAACCCTCGGACCTCGACTCTCTAACCCTCGGAGCCTCGAGCCCTCGGAGCCTCGGAGCCTCGAACCCTCGAACCCTCGAACCCTCGAACCCTCGAACCCTCGGACCCTCGAGCCTCGAGGCACGACTCGCACCCTCGGAGCTCCGCCCCCCCCACCCGCGCAGGACGGCGACAGCGACTCCGAGCGGGACGCCTCCGCCCGCGCGCTGCCGCCGCAGCTCGGCCTCCGCCTCCCGGCCTCCTTCCGCCCGCCCCCCGGCCTGGAGGCGCCGCCCGGCGCCCCTGCGTGGGCGGCGGCCGCGGCCGGCGGGGTGCCGGCGCCGCCTCGCACGGCGCTGCGCAGCGCAGCCAGGCCTCCTCTTGCCTCTCGGTGCAGTTGCTTGGCATCGCTCGGGCGTGTGCCTTTTTTCCCGGCGACGGCCATCGAGGAGCATCCTTGATCATTTGGCGAAGAGAACACGCACGAAATCGAAAAGTACACGAGGAATGGACGTCCGAGCGATGGCCAGATCACGGCTGGGAGGTCAAGGGGGGGAGGAGAGAGGGCACTGGAAACCGCGGCCATGCTGTCGTCTGGGGCCTCCTGCGTGGCGCTCGTCGCCACCGCTGGAGTCGCTCCGAAGTCCTGGTCAGGACGCACCCCAGGAGAGGTGCGGGGAGTAGCGGTATCGGTATTTTCTGGTTCCCCTGTCTTTCTTCTCGGCAGGGCCGACACGGGTACGCGAACCAGGGGTACGAAGGGTGACAGCACTTCCTCTTCTTTCGCAGGGCTCTCTGTCGGTGTCACCGCGCACGTTTCTTTCATGTGAGGCAGAAGGCCGCCTGGCCAACAGCGGCCGCCGTTCTGGACAATATCTGCTGCTGCGCATCGTACCCATTCCTTCCGTGCCCATCTCGGGTGTCCAAAATCAGGAGCGAAAGAAGGACGTACACGTGCATGAACTCACCAGAGACTTGGCCTTACATGAATCCACGCTGGTTTCGAGAGTACGCATTGCGCAAAGGTTCGTATAACGCGGCCGGTCTCGCGGATCGAGGGGCCGTGTTCGTGTACATAGCTGGGCGCGTACGTTTTTTGTGGGTTCCCTACAGCAGTCCTTCCTGTCTTGCAGCCGAAGAAGAAACGTCTCAACCATACATCTTCGAATGTCTGCGCTGAGTTCTTGGATCAGCCCCGGGCGCCCCCTGGCGGCGTCTCCAGCGCCGTCCAGCGTGAGAGGGGTCCAGCGCTGCCAGGCTCACTCGGTAAGGGCTCGGCGACTCCCCTCCCGATCCACTTGCGGTGGTAAAAATCGTAGGATGGGAAGGTACTTGACGATGCCGCTGCTCGTTCTGGAGAGCTCTCGCCACCACGGCTTGATTTTCCTTGCAATTCTGGTCAGAGCGTACCTCAGTAAAGGTCAGGGGAGTAGCGGTTGTTGCTGCGTCTGTGTGTTTCCCCGTAAGAGGGCAGGCGTGTCTCCAGTATGCCAGCGCGTGGGCAATGTAAGCGGTTCGTTCTCGCAGCACGCGTGCGGAAGCTCGAGGAGCCCCAAGTGTGCGGAAGCCCGTGCGCGTGGAGCTTCACAGGAGTCTCGTTCGGGGGCAGGAACATGACCATGATGCAGCGTGTGCAACAGCCACCACTTACAGCATGGTGGACGTTGTTCGGGATAGGTTTGAGAGCGTGAGACGTTCAACACATGATGGGCACTATGTTTCGAGCGACGGCCCGCATACCTCTGTGCGTTTATCCGTCAGGGCTTCGCCCCCTGCCGCCGGCCCCTCTCTATCAGAATGGGATATATCAGAGCCGCGTCGGTGCTGCTGGGAGCGGCCTTGGCGCATCTGGGAACATCATGTGGGGGCGGATAGGAGTCAGCAGCGCATATTGAGACGTTGGCGTTATCGAAGACGCCTACGGCGAATCACTGCCGCCACCTGCATTCGTGGAAGCGCCTATGTGGCCGAAGGTTGGGTTAGAGCTTGGCCAAACTATCGGACCATGTGTTCCCCGAGTTTGTTTGGAACACCTTCGGGGAACACGTGGTCGAGAAAGAGGAGGATAATGAGGAAAAAAGGGAAGGGGAGAGCAGGCCTCTTCGGAGCCTCTTGAGGCACTCTTGGGCTCGATTGGGCCATTTTGGCGGTCTTGGAGCCATCCTGGGGCCGCCTTGGAGGCCACATTGGCGCCATCTTCGAGTCCATTATTCAACCCCTGTCCCTGTGGAAGCGCCTTGGTGGCCGACAGCTGGGCTAGAGCTTGGCGAAAGTATCGGACCATGTGTTCCCAGAGTCGGTTTGGAAAACATTCGGGGAACACGTGGGGGCGGAAGAGGACGAGGAGGAGAAGGAGGAAAAAGGAAAAGGGGGAGGTTGCCTCTTCGGAGCCTCTTGAGGCACTTTTGGGCTCGATTGGGCGATCTTGGGATCGTCTAGGAGGCCATGGTTGTCGATGCGCATTCAGCCTCGGGGACGGAATAATTGCGCAATTTACTAGGGTTTGTGGCCTCGGGGACGCGAATATTGCGCGATTTACAAGGGATGGCCTCGGGCACGCGAATCTCACGTCTTTTAAGACGTCCCACGCCCCCCGATGAATTCAGAGAGAGAGAGAGAGAGAGAGAGAGAGAGAGAGAGAGAGAGAGAGAGAGCGATCCGGGCGTGGTGAATTGTATTCTCTTGGGCTCCCCCTACTCGCGCGGACTTCAACAATTTACAGTCGGAAGCAGAAAGCAGGAATGTAAACATTGGAGGCTTGAAACTGCAACTGGCGCAGGGAGCAGCAACTTCGGCCTACAGCCTGGTGGCCCCACAAGGGGGCCGGCGGATGTCCAGCTCCCGCCGCTGGCCACGGCGTGTGGGACCGAGTGGAGTGACAAGTGTGAGTTCCCTGGGAGTTCCGCAGCGTGCGTTGGATCCCGGGATGCCGTGGCACGTGGGCGTGGGGGTCGGCCTCTGACGGGCGGCCTTGTGGATCTTATGGTGCCGCCAAGGGCCCGACCCCGCCGCCCACGCGCCGTCTCCGCGCAGCCCAAGTATAGAGAAGGCCCTGAATGCGAGCATTGCTTGGGGAACGTAGGAAGAGGTGATCCCAGACGCATCAAGAGCTGAGCCCGATTGCGCTTTGGAGATTGGTGCTGACTTGGGGGTTGGGGTGGGGAATCATTCGTTCGAGTCGCCAGAGAGGATCCGTCTCCTGCCCCTACATAGGCGCTATTGTGCGCAGCAGTTTTCGTTCCCTGTCCCCTCTGAGCCGCCTCCTCCACGTGGGCTGTGAATGTGCCAAATTCGCCCCTTGCCCCTCCTGGCGGGCTTTGCTGGTGCACGTTCAGAGCAGACCCCCAGCTGCCTCCAACGCGAAGGATCCACAGCTCGATGATCCTGAGAACGTGTGTTGATCCAATGTGTGAGTCATTCCGTTCAGCTAGCCCCGCCGGCAGCACGCAGCCTGTGGCGGCTTGTCCTGCACCGCCCGCGTCCCAACGAAGGGCTGCGATGAAAGCACACGATGGCGTCAGCACGCGTCCATAGGATCATCGAGCAGCGCGTGTCGAGGGGCAGCGGTGGTCGTGAGGCACTTGCGGTCAGGAACTTTGGCCTGGCGTGTCGCTCCGACGGTGCTGGCCCACCACGCTGCGCCGCGACACGCTATTCATGTCCCAGTCTCCGGGGTCGTCAATGTCCTGGGCCTTCCCCGACCTCCCTCCCTCGCGGAGCGAAGCTACACGCCATCAACTCGCAAGGCCTAGCGTGCCTCGGGGAATCACAAGGGATCCATGTCTCCACTCCTCGAACCTCTCCCGGGATGCGTTCTGACCAAGATTTTCGAGGCGAATGCAGCGGTGGCGACGAGGGCCTCCCAGGAGGCCCAAGGAGGGGAAAACGAGCGAAGGATGCCGGTTTGAATGCCGTCTCCTCTTCCGAGAGTCGCCGGAGCCGCCGCCGCGACACGCCGAGCAAGAGCTCCCGACCGCTTCGACAGGCCCTTCCTGAGCCGGGCCAGCCCCGAGGGCGCTGCGCCTCCGGCGGCGCCCGCCGCGGCGCCGCCGACGGCCGCGCCCCTGCAGAGCGCCGCCGCGCCGGCCGGGCCGCGGCCGCTCGCGGGCGGGCCGCAGGCGCCGTGCAGCGGCGATCGAGGCCTCCCAAATTGGGGTCCTCGGAGGTGGACAGAAGCCCCAGGTGACACGTCGATTGGTGAATTGGCGGTTTTCGGTTCTCGAGAGGGCGCCGTGGCCGTCATTGTCCAGGCTTGCGCCCGCCAGGTTTGGGCCTCAGGTCGTTTTCACTAAACCACGTTTTACTAAAGGGGGGTCTGTCCATCCCCGAGGTACGAGCAGGTGGGGTCTCGGACGGTCACAGAACAGGGCTGAATCCGTTCCAGAGCGTTCCGGAGCGCTCTCAGAGCGTTCCAGAAAGCTCTGCAACGGGCGCGGCGCCCCGTCTTGGTTTCGTCTGAGGTCGCGCCGCATCCAGATATGATGGTTGTTTATTCGGTGAAGCCGAGCGGCAGTTTAGGGGATCGCCCCCCCTTCCCCCCGCCCCCCTTTCCCGAACGGTAGGGCTGGTTCCCCCACAGGCATGGCCCGCGGCATGGCGCTGTGCTCACAGGCATGTCGTGATATCGACAGGCGTGCTGTTTGGTGCTCATAAACAGGCAGTGGCGCTCTCAGGCCCGACCCCCCCCCCCGCAACGAACGCTAATTATGGGGGGTGGGTGGGTGGGAAGAAAATAATTTCATCGCCGCCAGTGCATCGTCCATGCGGCTCGACGTGGAACCCGCTTTGCTCCACGCCGACGTCGCCGAATGCATCGCCGAGGTGGCACGATTCCCCGATCCCCTTTACTCGGACCCCAGCTGGGAGGCCTCTTAGGTGAGAGCATGCGCACGCACCTGCAGGGGCTGCGCGCGGAGGGCCACCGCCGCACTCTGGTGGTGCCCGGCGGCCGCGCAGGGCCGTCAGGATGCAGCTCCTGGGTGGTTTCACTCGGCCTCGGCGCTGGTAGATCCGCGGTCGAAAGCCCCGGCCGCACACGGCAGAATCCCGCTGCATCCCGCGCAGTCCCGCTGAATCCTGCTCGATCCTGGCTCAGTGGTCTTGTCGTCGGGCTCACTTCGGGCGTTGCTAGAAGAGCCCCTGGCCCCAGGTGCCCCCCAGGATGTTCCGGGAGGCCGCCCCCATGGCCTCCAGAGCACCCCTCACGAGGCCCAGAGGGCCTCAGGGGGCTCCAAAAGCAAGCGAAAAGCTGGGAGCACCTTGGGCGCCAGGGACACCTTTAGCAACACCCGGAGAATAAGCCCTAGTCGTCCTCACAAGACCTCCCAGCAGCTGCCTCCTACAAGTGGTTTTGGGGCGGGGCGAGGAGGCTGCCTGCCTTGCGGAGAGGGCCCCGCCCCCCGCCCTCGGAGACTCGGGAGGGTGCGCTCTTGGAGGCCGCGTGGTGCTCACTGAGAGAGCCCTCCCCCATTCGCAGGCGACTTTTCTCCCCCCGGGGTACCCTGGTCCCCGAGTGCCGCCCGAAAAGTTTGGCCGCTCAGAAAACAAGGGGAACTCTGGGATGCACCCCTAGGGGCCCAGGGGGGCTATGCGCACGCACCGCTATCGAGGACGGACGCCCCCTATCGTATATCTACGGGTTGGGCCAAAACTTTTTGGTCCAGTCCACAAGCCCCCAAAGTGGCGGATTGGGTCGCCATACCCCTTGTAACCCATGGTTTCCTGGAGTGCTTTCTCCTGGTCCGTCGGCAGCAAGTCATGGGAGCTTTGTGCACCCTCGCAACTCCGCCGTTGAAGTGCATTAGCGTCGATCAGCGTCAGGTAATCGATGGGCTAGCGCCGATGTAGCGTCGATCAGCGTCGACTTTGCGTCGACTAGCGTCGACTCGTACGAGCCAACTCCATGGTATGGAAGGCTGGCATGTGTTGCCACCGAATGGTCTCCCCCCCCACTCGCCCCGCTTGCCCCCCATCTCGGGGGCAACGATCGGGGGGCGGGTATAGGCACAGGGGAGGATGCATCGACCCCCAATCGCCCACGGATCGCCGACATGGGGCCCGATAGCCCCAAGCTGCCCAGGAAGGTGCGGGCTCACCACCCGGGGGCCAGTCGGCGACCGGTCGGCAATGTATCGCCGATTCCTCCTTCTCCAGCCCCCCCCCCCCCCTACCGTTGCCCCTCACCATCTGGCACCGCCACCGCGTCCTCGGAGACTCGGAAGGGTGCGCTCTTGGAGGCCCCTTTGGCGCCTCCTGGGGGGGGGCCGCCCCCGCCTTCCTGGAGCGCCGCCCCTCCCACCCGTGCCTGCCCGGAGCGCCGCCCTCCCCCTCCCCTGCCTGCTGGGAGTGCCCCCCCCCCCCCCCGTCTGAGCGACGAAAGCCAACGTGATCGACTGCGCCGACGTTCGCGCGGGAGCCAGTGTGGCGTGCGGCGCTGGCGGCCCGCGTAAGCTGCGGCGTAAGGTCGCAGCGTCACCTCGCGTGAGGCCCATTTCTGTTCGCATCTCCCCATGCCTTGTTGGAGCGCGCCCCCCCCATGCCGTCTTGGAATGCCGCCCCTAAAAAGGCTCGCGCTTTTCCCGATCACTAAGGTTGACAAGTCAGACCGCGATGCCAGTCTCAGGGATGTGTCCGCAGAAACTGCGGGAATCCTTAGGATAGGCAGGGAGAGAAGGAGATGCCAATCAATAGTCGGCGGCCAACCCGGGAGGGAAGTGGGAGGGAGCGGGCCGCCTTCTCAGAACGCTTGGAGGTCCCCCGGCCTTCTGAGAGAGACGCAGAAATCCTCTCAGAAGGCCGGAGGGCTTCTGAGAAGTCCTGCCGCCTTGAGAGCGGGCCTGCTCCTTCCCACTCCCTTCCCTCGCTCGCCGCCGAAACATGGATGGGGACATGCTTCAGACTGGTAAGCCCCCTCGGTCAAGCAGTGGCGAGGCGTCCTGGCTCGCCTATAGCCCCACCAAACAATGTTCTAAGAACCTTTAGTGGTTCCCACGAAATGTTCTTAGAACATTTCTGGTTGGGACTGGTTTGTTTTATCACATCGGGTTTATGCTCTAAGAACATTGTTTTTGTTCTTAGAACATCTGTGGGTTCTAAGAACATGTCGTGGCAGGACTCTAGGAATGCCGGGACGGTCGGTCCCTGCTCAAAATCTGGACAGGGACATGCTTCAGACTGGTAAGCCCCCTCGGGCACCGCGGCTCCGAGGTGCGCAGGATCCACCGCCTCGGGCTCGACTCGCCCGAGAAGCTAAGGGCCCACTTCGAGCAGTACGGCGCGGTGGAGGCCCGGGGCCGGCTGGGCGGGGGTCCGAGGTGGCCCAGCACCGGGCTCTGCCAGCAGAACGGGTCGGCATCGAAACCCGAAGCCGATGTCCCGGGCACAGCAAAGAAGCACAATCAAGTCCTGGTGTTTTTTCTGGATGGGCCCTGTCGGGGGAAAACAAAAACGATTTCGTCATGAGCACTCTGGTGGTAGCTGTGGTCGACTTGGCCGTCCTGGGACGCCACGTGAACCACAACGAGTACGAAGCTGGTGCTGGTGTTCTGGCATTCCTTGGCATGCACAAGACATCCCCCCGGGTGTATCCTCGATGCTCATGTGGTCGCCTGCTGTCCCCGCGAAAACCCTCGCCGACCAACGATTCGGGCAACTCGATGGGCGGCGGGGTAGGGCTCGGATGTCGCCACCCAAAAGGAGGAGAAAGGGGCCTTCTCGACTGGTCCGTCTCGACCCTGGGAGGGGCCCGGGGACCGATTCCGAGCAGACCTGCCCACATCCCCCCCTCTCCGGGCAGACCTCCGATGGGCCACCCATCGGGGGCGGCCAAGAGGGGGGTGATGACTAGGGGGGGTAGATATCATGGCGTGGGCCATGATATTTCCCCAGATTTCGTGGCATCTCTTCTTATTTCATTACGTCCCTGGCCCCCCCCCCTGGGCCGCGCACATGCCGCCGGCCATGATTTGCACCCCCCCTCATGGACGGCCCCCTCTTTGCCGCTCCCGAACCCAGCTCAGACCCCCTGGCCGCCTCCAATAAAGGAAGGAATTACCAAGCCGACCCCGACAGCTCGCGTGTGCTAAGCGGCCCTGAGGCCGTTTACTAAACAGCCCTTCCCTGTTCGAGTCCTTCCTTGGGTACATTTACTAGATGGCTTCGCTCGTTGGGGTGCTCATCAGGGTGGGTCTTCTACTCCCCATCCAAGCGTAGGCCGTGCTGGTCACCCACTCGCACGTCCGCAGCGAGCGCAGGTCGAGGCCAGCGGTCACCACGCGCATCCGCCCAGCGCACCTCGGTTTCGTCGTCATGGGCGGCGCCGAGGCCGGCCGTGCGCGCGAAGGGCGGCCCTTTCGCGCCGGAGTGGCCCTCTGGCGTGCGGCTTCTCTGAGCGGCGTCGTTTCGCTGGTTGTTAGAGGTGCCCTGTGGCCCAAGGTGCCCCCCAGCTGTTCGCTCCACGTTGGAGCCCCTCCGGCCCCCAGGGTGCCTCGTGAGGGGTGCTCTGGAGAACGTGGGAGCCTCCCTGGAAATCCCGTGGGGCACCTTGGGTAGGGGCTTTTCTGTCAGCACCCACCCGAGCGTTAGGGGGGGATTTGGCGGAGGGGCGGGCGCATCGACCCACAATCGCCCATCGATCGCCAATGGTCAGGAGGGGAAAAACACAGACACAATTAATCGTCGATTCCCGAGAACATATGGGAAAATATGGGAAGTGGGGGGGAACCCCAAAAATATAGAAAAATATAGAGGTATTTTTATTTGTGTGTAGTTATTTGTGTGTCCTGGGGCCCCTTCAAATTGTGGCCTCAGGGCTCACCTCGCCCAGGAGCGTGCGGTGTGCGGTTTCATTTTTCGTGGGGCTAGCGGCGATGTATGGCCGATTCCAAGTCGGTGTCCCCCCCCCTCCTGAGCCAGCCATCCCACCGATCGTTGCCCTTCAGTCTCGGGGCCGCCGAGCACGCACTGTCGCTCGAAGAGAAGACTGCGTGATCATATTGTGTCGAGTGTCCGCGCGGATTTCTTGCATCGACGCTGGACCCCGGCCGCCTGCGCGCCCCGCGCGCCAGGGAGGGGGTCCAGCGCCGACCAGCGTGAGAGGGGTCCAGCGCTGCAAGGCTCGCTCGGGAGGGGCTCAGCGACCCCTCCCGATCGACTCGCGAGGGTGAGAGTCGTAGGCGGGGAAGGCTTTTTGCTGCCTCCGGTCGCATCGCGAGCCGCGATCGGCAAGCCGCGCACCAGAGGCCACCCGTCGCTCAGGGCCTCCCCATCCCGTGCAGCCGACGAGGGAGCGGAGGCGGCGGTGGGGGACGGCGAGGCCCACGTCGTCCTCGGGAGTCCCATCGAGGTGCAGCGCTTCGTGCCCCACCGCGGGGAGCCCGCGGGGGCGCCGCGCGACAGCGACGAGGCCGCCGACGCCAGCGAGGGCATGGCAGACGACGAGCAGGACAGCGCCACCGAGTCCGCGTCGCCCTCGCCTCGTCGCGCCGCGGCCCAGTAGGGCGGCCATCCGCGAGCTCGGGCGCCGCGAGGCGCCGCCGGCGCCTTCAACTCGTTTGGTCTCTCAAGAGGTTGTGGTTGATGGGCCAGTGCTCCACCACCGCTGCCAGGTGTCGGACGGGGCAGAAGGGAGAGTAGGGAGGTCCTCCTCCTCCTCCTCCTCCTCCTCCTCCGCCTCCTCCTCCGCTTCCTCCTCCTCCTCCTCCTCCTCCTCCTCCTCCTCCTCCCCCTCCTCCTCCTCCTCCTCCTCCTCCTCCTCCTCCCTCCTCCTCCTCCTCCTCCTCCTCCTCCTCCTCCTCCCTCTCCTTCCTTTCCTTCCTGTGCTATTGGCGGTGGAGCATCTGCCCATCAGCGGTGGTCGGGGCGAGTGCGGAGCTCTACCGCGGGGCCTGCGGGGCCTTCTGCGGGAGCTCGACCGCGGGGTGCCCCGGCCTCCGCTGCCCGAGGGCGGCGAGGCCGCGTGCCTGGTCTCTCTTGGTCGTGTCCCAGCGGGCACCTGGAAAAGAAAATGGCTGCTTGGATGTGCCTCGCCTTTGTTCTCGCCCAGTCCCACAGGTCGATCGGCGAAGTGCCGTCAAGCCCTGAACTATCTTCTCCCTCATACTCTGTGTCCTACTTCCTCCTCCCGCCGCCTGCTTCGCCCCCCCTTCCTGTGGCCTTGCCCTCGAAACGCCCCCCCCTCTCTCCCCCTTCGTGCACCTGCCTCCCTGCCTGCCTGCCTCTCCTCGCGAGTCCATCGTCGCGCCCCCTCCCTCTAGTGCCCTCGTCGCGCCCTCCCTCCAGTGCCATCCCCGCGTTCTTGGTCCCTCTCGCCCCCTCCCTAGCCCTGTCCTTCCTCGATCCCTTCCCGGTATCCCCCTTTGCCCTCGTACTTCCTCTCCTTCCCGGCCGTTCCGCCCCCGTTCACCCATCGCCATCCCCCCTCACCTCGGAGAGGATGAAAGGAGGAAGGGAGGAGGAGGAGGAGGAGGAGGAGGAGGAGGAGGAGGAGGAGGAGGAGGAGGAGGAGGAGGAGGAGGAGGAGGAGGAGGAGGAGGGAGGAGGCAGGATGGAGGAGGCAGGAGGGAGGAGGGAGGAGGGAGGAGGAGGAGGAGGATACGACGCGGGTGGCGACCGCCACGCAGTGCGCATGACGGGCACACGAGAGAGGGAGGGGCGAGAGGCCCCCCCCCTGGGGACAATACTCGGTGGCCTCGTCCACCAAATTTGATCGTGGGGCGGCCCCCCGCTTCCAGAGAGGAAGAGCTTGCATCAGCGAGGATTAAAGAACCCCTGACCCTACGTAGTAGCATGGTGAAGACGTGGCCTCACCCATGTCCCCGTTTCCTCATGAGGGGTTACAGTTTTGGGCGGTTTGGCCTGACACGACTGCGGAAAACAAGACCCCTTCTGCCTAATGCGGCCCTGCGGGAAGAGGTCCAGCAGGAGCGGGAGGCGGGGCGCGCGCGTGTGGGCGCAGTTCTCGCCTCCCTCGCCCCCCCCACCACCCCGCCCAGGCTAAAAGGAAGCATACAAACGAGTTTCGAGGTGGGCCCAGGAGCCGAAAGGTTAGAACCTCAGCCAAGTCCGCTCGGGGTCCGAGACCAGCAAGGGAATTGGCTGGAATCAAACGCGTACCAGCTTAGTTTTCGTCCGCTGGGTGCTTCCCAGCCAGGACAAACAGGCTTACGGGCAGCTTTGATAGACAGCTTGCTGGGCGGATCGCAATCCAGAAGCAAGCACCATGCCGTACCCATCGAAACATATTTATATATCGAACAGAGAATAACGTGGCCAGGCGCCACGTACAGATGATGGCCCATGGCTTCAGCGGGCTCGACTGAGCCGCTCGCATGCATGGGCGCAGCTGGAACGGTACCGTGTGCAAGTGTCGGCCTGCCTCGAGTCCCAAGACACCTCCTCTCGGCTGTGGACTGGTCGCGGACATGTGGCTCAGCGGGCTTGAAGCTGGTAACAGCTCTTGACAGTACACTCGCATCTGCGGACCGCTCTTCAACAGCAGGGTCGAAGGTGACTTTGTGCCAAGCGATACGATGCTCAGGAGCCGAGGATCAGCAGAGTCACTAGCGTTGCCTCGCTTGCGCAGTCCAGCTTCCATCCCACAGCCCTCAGCGACCTGGGCACCACCGATACGCGGGGCCTGCGGCTCGCTCCGGCATATCCCCTCGTGCAACGACGAGGAGATGGGGCCAGTCAGAACGGAGCCCCCGTCCTTCTCGGGGACGCGATTAGCACCCCCCCCTCGCTGGGGGCGAACCCCCGGCCAACCCTCGGAGCCTTTTCAGGAGAAAGGAGCGCCGAATACGAGTCGTGCTCAACCTTCGCGCCCTTCATGCAACCCTTTCTTCTTCCCAAGCAGACTCTGACACTTGCCCTGCTCACAGTGCTTACGGTAGGTTCGCGCGGCGTTGACGCGAAAGAACCCCCAGTGCGGGCGTTCAAAGTTGAACGCCGGTAGTGGCCCAGAATCGCAAGATATCGAGCGATCTGCACTACCCGAAAGCCGTGATCGTTCGAAGTTGACGGATCCGCACGGTGTCTGACGCCAACACCGAAGTCATTGCGACGCGAAGCTATCGTAGCGTAGGCATTCGCCATCCACTGAAACCACTTGGCGTAGTCGCGATGGGCAGGGCCAGCCTGGGCGCAGCGTGAATGCCTCGCCCCCTCGGCGGCGCCAGATCCTCCCGCCTGTTCCCCACTGGTGGCTCGCCCGGCCCGCGCTCGACGGGCCCTAGCATGCTCTGCGCGCATGGGACCATGCAAACTTCCACTTTGGCATCGCTCGGACGTGTGCATTTTTTCTCGGCGAGGACCATCGAGGACCATCCTGGACCATCGAGCAAGAAAAACACGCACGAAACCGACAAATGCACGGCAAACGGACGTCGAGCGACGGCAAGTCCATGATCGTCGATCTTGGGTCACATCGCCTCCCACGTATCAGCATTGTTTCATTGGGGAGCCAAGCGCACCGAGGGCCCCCATTGAAGCCAGGAGGAGGAGGAGGAGGATAAGAGAAGAGGGGAGGAGACAAGCTGCGCTGGCGCTACATTTGACATCCTACCCCTCCCACCCATCCCTTCCCAGTGCGCTGTTTTTGTTGTTCTATCTACCGACGCCGCGTGTCATAGTTGACCTGGCACTCCACATGGGACCTCATCGTGTCATGCGCAATCGGAAGAAGGAAGGTGCGTACATTGGAGGAGGAGGTGGCGGATGAGCAGGAGGAGAAGCAGGAGGAGAAGGTGGATGATGAAGGATGAGGGCGAGGACGAACAGTAGCAGCAGGGATTGGAGTGAAAGGAGCGGGAGGAACAGGAGGGCCAGGGGAATGCGGGTGAGGTGAAATACAGGGGCGACAACGATGGGAAAATGATAATGCAACGTGGCCCGCGCTGGGGCGAGAGCGCCATCCTGAACGACGGGAGCAAAGCGCCGCTCACAAACACTATGATTGCAAAGCGCTATAAGACAGGAAACAAAGAAAACGCAGTACGGGGAGATGGCGGGACACTTTTCGGACAGAGGAAGGGGAGAGAAGAGAGTAGCATTCGTGTTGAGCAAGTGTGGAGGAGGAGGAGAGAGTTGGAGAGCAGGAGCAGGGTGAGAAGCACGACCACGTTGACAGAAGGGAGGATGGAGGGCGGCGGCGGCTGCCAGGGCGTGGCGAAGTGCTCGGAGGGCGTGGGCGGCGAGGCCGCGTGAGGCGCGGTGTTGCTACTCATCCTCCTCTTCCTCTTCCTTCTCCTCTTCCTCATCGTACTACCGCCATAATCACCGACCTCATCATCTGAAGTGTCATCATCACCACCAGAAGCAGCATCATCATCATCGCCATCATCATCGTCACCATCATGCCTGGGAAGAAGGAGGCATCATTGCGGCGATCACTACACATATCATGTACATGTTGGTGGATCTCTTGGTGGGGTACCAGTTCAAGGATGCGGGCAGGTGATCCGTCGAGCAGCCCCGCGGGGTGTTCCGTTCGAGTCCGGGGCACGGGTGAGGAGGTAGTCAGTGCTTCTGACGGCGGATTGGGTGGATCGGCGTGGGTACGGAAAGAAAACGGGCTCGTTGTCGGGGTCGCCGCGGGCGCTGTCCTCTTCAGATGAGCAGTGGCCCGCCCGGCAGCGTCCGCTGTCGGATCTGCATAACCAGCACGAGTGCACATCTTCTCTCCCAGGTCGGTCTTGGACCCCTCTCCCAGCAACCCCCAGCGGCGCGCTCGGCCCAACAGGGAAGGGAGGCGATGGGGAGGGGAGGGGGGGGGGGCGGCACCTCGACGCGGACAGGGAGCGCACCGCTGCCTCCTCGCAGATCTTCTCCCTCTCCGAGGCTGGGATTGCCGGGCGTCCAGCGGCTGCCCAAGCGATCTTCCTGGACCCCAGGAGGTTGTCAGTGTGGGTGTGTGTTAAGACCCTTCGGGGCCCCAATGGGTCCCCATGCCCCATGCCCAATGCCCCATCGGGTTTCTGGCACATCGGCTTCCCAGGCGGCGGATGCTGCCCCACTTGCAGTAGATTCGCGTCGTGTCGACGCGGCGGTGCAGGTTGAACGCCGCCAGTGGCCTGGAGGCTTTCGACATCGAACGACCTGCGCCATCGTGAAGCCACGATCGTTCAGGGCTGAACGACCCACGCGGTGCCCGCAGCCAGTGCCGAAGTCGTCACGACACAAGCCTGCGCGAGGATCTCGGTCTTCCTCTGCCCCGCTCGTCGGGCGGCGGGATCCGCTCGTCGCGCGAGACCCGTCCAGGCCCTCCTGATGCACCTCATCGACTGCCTCCCCGTGCCCGCCTCCTCCTCCCCCTTCCTCCTGGAGGATTCCTCATCCCCCTCCCCCTCTCTTCTTCTCTTCCCTCTCTCTCTCTCTCGTGGGAGAGGGGGGGGAAGTCCACGCGCACAAGGGGGCCCAACAAGGCCTGGGCAGGGTCGGCTCGCGCCGGGGCCCTCGTGCGGAACCACCACGGATGAGAGAGAGCAAACAGCCGACGACAGCTGGGAGGAGGGACAAAAAGCATGAGGGCGAGGAGGGGAAAGCGCAAGCGACATGCAGGAGCTGCCGGGCGGAGGGGGGAGGAAGGGGGGACGGGGGATCCCGGGTGGCGGACGTCACATTGTCGCGGTGGCGGGCGTGGACGCCCGGAAGGTTTTCGCGGTGGTCGGTGGTCGCGGTGGTTGTGGTCGTGGTCGTGGTTGTGGTTGTGATCGTCGTAGTGCGCAATGGCGGTTGGGTTCGTGGCAGCGGTCGTCGGTCACGGCAGTCGTCGGCCGTGGCAGTCGTCGGTCGTGGCAGTCGTCCGTCGTGGCAGTCGTCGTCGTGGCGGCGGCGGTCGTGGCAGTCGTCGACGTGGCGGCGGTCGTTACTGCAGTTCTGCCTGAGGACGTCGTTGCGGTCGCTGTGGTAGTGGTGCTGGCCGTGCTGGCCACCGTCGTCGTGGTCGCGGTGGTCACGTTGAGGCGGCCCTCGCCGGGCCGCTCATGCTGCGCTGAGCAGCATCTCAGCGCTGCCGAGGGCCAAGCAGCGCTGGATCTTCCTCCAGGTGGACGAAATCACGCCCGACCGCTCGGTGTCAGGCAAGCCCCGGCCACACGAACGGACGAAGGACACCAGCTCGTCCGCTGGCCGGCCCCCTGTCTCCAAGACGGCTGGGATGAGCGCCCCTCCGGCCCGAGGGTAGCGCCCCCGCTTCCGGTCGACCGCCTGTGCCGCCGCCACCCCGTCCGGTCTGGCTCTGGCCTGCTTGCGAGCGGTCTTGTCGTTGTGCAGACCAGTCCACGTAGATGAGGGCGTTGGAAACAGGGTCGCGGGTGGCCACGTCGAGGACGGCCACTTCACGCGCGCTGGTGTCAGGGTTTTGGCGATCCCACGCAGGGACGCGCTGCTCGGTCGTCTCTCTCTCTCTCTCTCTCTCTTTCTCTCTCGCAGCGCTCCGAAGCGATCCCTTTCCAGAGCTGCGCCGAGTGCAGCGAGCGCGCGCGCGGACGCCACCGAGGATGGTTTTCTGAAAAGGGGGGAGGGGGGACAGGAACCGTACCATACATTAAAGGAACCGTGCCATACATTGAGCCCTGGACAGGAGGGGAAGAAGAGGGAAGGAAATGGCCAGCCGTGGCACGGCGTGCCAACGGTGGCCGCACTGGCTTCGAATCGATTGGGCTGGGAAAACATCGAATCGTGCGAAACGTAGAAGCAGAACCGAGAGGACGGCAGGGCGCAGCTCAGGGCCCGCAGTACGAGTACCGCTAGAAGCTAGACGGCAGGCGGCTTGGAGGGGGGGGAGGTCGGAATCATCGCGCGGGGAGAAAGGTAGTGGTAACCTCCAGCCCAGCGAAGCACACCACGTAGACCGTCTGGGGTGTCGCTGGCCGGCCGCGTAGTTGTCCTCCTCCCTCCTCCCTCCTCCTCCTCCTCCTCCTCCCCCTCCTCCATTCCTCACTTCCTCCTCCTCCTCCTCCTCCTCCTCCTCCTCCTCCTCCTCCTCCTCCTCCTCCTCCCCCTCCTCGTCCTCCTCCTCCTCCTCCATTCCTGATGAAACTCCTTCCTGTCGCACCCCGAGGCGTGTCGGTGGGGCGGGCCGTGCATGTCGCCTGAGATGGCCTCACCATTATTATCCTGAAGCTGCTGCACGCATGGAGGCCGGGTGAGTTTCAAGATGTGGTTCTCGCCTTAGCGCCGTGCACATTCGTTTCAAACGATGGTAAGAGTGCCACGTGTGGTGATCGAAGTGTGGCTCTCGCCTCTGCGCCGCGCACTTTCGTCCTAAACATGTGCACGAGCTTCACGATGGAGGGCGGATTGGTTTCAAACTGTGGTTTTCGCGTTCGCGCCGCACACATTCGCTATAAAACGTGAAAGAGTCTCACGGATGGAGGGCGGGCAGTTCTTTTTTGTAATGTGGGTCTCGTTTTCGCCAAGCGCACCTTCGTTGTAACAGATGGGAAGAGCTTCACGGACGGAGGGCGGGTCTTTCTCACATGTGGTTCTCGCCTCCGCGCCGCGCACATCTGTGCTGGGCATCTGCAAGAGCCTCTGCGATGGAGGGCGGGTATTTCCCAACATGTGGCTCTCGTTTCCGCGCCGCGCACATTCGCTTCAAGAGTTTACAGTTCCAAGGATTCTCCTGGACCACGTCCCAGATTCGGGTGCGCGACGTCGGGCTGTCAGGGCGTAACCGTTATGTGGATTCGTTGTGTTGGAGATCCAGGGTGGGCGTCCTGGCGCGATTCGAGAACGCCAAGACGCAAGTGTAACGGTGATACGCGGAGTTGGAGTCCCAGGCATAGTGTTCTGCCATGGTTCAGGCTTGTCGAACGGTTGTCTTCCAATGGGGCATTCCCTGCAGTGAAAGCGAAACCTTGTAGGGACCTACGAAGAGGGAACTTGGAGGGAGCGTTGATCGCAATCTCGTGGATGAATCTAGGGCTTGCACTGGTCCTCCTGCTCCTTTTCCTCCTGGTGCCGGACGATGACTACATACGCCCCTCAACCTTCATCCTCGAACCTCCTCCTCCTCCCCCTCTCCTCCTCCTCCTCCTCCTCCTCCTCCTCCTCCCCTCCCTCCCCCCCTCCCCCTCCCCCTCCTCCTCCTCCTCCTCCTCCTCCTCCTCCTCCTCCTCCTCCTCCTGGAGCCTTGGGGCGGCCGGCGCGGGGCCGCCCACGGGCGCCGTGTGCGGCGTGCGGCGGGCGCCCTTTGCAGCCGTGCGGGGCCTGCCTGTTGCCTCGGCGGGCAGACGGGCGGAGGGCCGCCAGGGGCAGAAACAGCGGCCGAGGAGGGCGGGCGCTGCGCCCGCGGGGGCCGCCGACGGGGGGCCGTCGGCTTTCCCAGCCTGGAGCAGGACAGGGAGGAGGAGGAGGAGGGGGAGGGGGAGGAGGGGGAGGGGGAGGGGGAGGGGGAGGGGGAGGGAGGAGGAGGAGAGGAGGAGGAGGAGGAGGAGGGGGGGAGGAGGAGGAGGAGGAGGAGGAGGAGGGGGAGGAGGAGGAGGAGGAGGAGGGGGAGCAGGAGGAGGAGGAGAATGAGGAGGAGGCCAGGAGCAGGAGGAGGAGCTATCAGGCGGAGGAAAGAGAAGATGGGGAAGTCCAGGAGGGGTGGAGTATGAGAGTGTCGGGTCCCTGAGCAATGCCAGGTCATGTCACAAAGCACTCGACCTGACCCCGCAATTACAGCGGCGAGACGACAAGCAATAACACGCGCACGCAAACGAGAACACTTCCACGAAACATAGACCCTGTGCCACGCCATGTCGGTGAATCCAGTCGTGTGAGGTATCTACCAGGTAACAACCACGCAGGCAGCCAAGGGTTTTGGATACCACCGCCAGGTATTAAGATTGTAAAAAGCAACAGTTGACAAACTACTCGGGACAAAGCATTCACCGTATTGACACGCGGGCGCACCTCATGTCCCCTGGCAACTTTTCCGCACGCGGGGAACCCCGCTTGAACGTGATAGGCATCTGTGGGGCAGAACTTAAATAAAAGCTGCGACGCGATGCGAGACGGGCATGGTCAACCACGGACGCCGACGGACAAGCACGCACTAATAGGAACATGTGTGTTGCAGGGAGAGAACGGAAAATCATTCAATAGAGCCTTTCATTTCCAGGCGTCATGCCATTAGGGTCCACATAACCCCTGGCATGCCGACCACCAGGGAGGGTGTAAGGTAACCACAAATCACCCACCGACCTCTCGAGGAGCCCCTTGCTCCCGTACGCGAAAAAGCCAACTCGCGACGCTTGTAATATCACCACCATTTGAACGCCAAACCACTAGTGGCGCAGAAATTGGGTCACCCGTGAGACTGCCTCAATCGCGGGAAGCCGGCATGTCCGAGATGAAGTTGGTGACATTGAGATTTCCATCGCCCATAGACCTTCAGAGACGTATTCATACAACGTAGTGTGCGGCTCGACTTCAAACTCGCTCTGGTTTGCCAACCGGGATCTGCTGCGCACGAGCTACGACGTAGCCTACCCGTTGCCCCTCAATCGCCAACGCGGAGGCGGGGAGTTAGGCGGCATATTACTCACTCGAGCCCAAACGGGTAAGGTGTTTTGATTCACCCTGCTTGGGCCAAATTGGCTACGGACTCCAGGAGGGGGAGAGGAGACGTCCAGGAGCAGGACGAGGAGGAGCCCAGGAGAAGGAGGACAGACCCTGATTAAGAGAGCGCACCGAGTTCGGTGACAGGACAGAGCAGAGACAGCCTAGGAGAAGGAAGAGGAAGAGGAGAAGGAGGAAAAGGAGGCTCGAGGCTCGCATCTTTCGAGCGGTTGTCTCCTTGTTCGGGACTCCGGCAGGCTTTTGGTCACCGCCGCTGGATTCGCTCCGCAAGTCTGGCCAGAACGCACCACAGGATATTGGGGGGTGGTGAAGGAGGAGGAGAACCCAAACACGCCAGTTGTGTACTCACGAGCGGGAGGTGAAGTAGTAGCGTGTTCTGGTATGGCTCGGGGGGCAACAGTTGTTTCACTTTCAGGTGGAGCTCGCCATCTGCATCAGCCAGTGAGCACTTCGTGAGACGGTTGGGAAGTGGTAGCAGGCTATGACGCTTCTCACATGTGCGTGATCGAAGTGTTCACACTTTGTTTCGTCCCAGTGTTCATGAATCACGAGTCTTCACTCACGGGGGCAACCTTGAGGATCGACTTGATGAACATCATGTGTCTGGCATTATTTGTGCTCTGTTATTGCAGCTGCAGTTTTCTATGTTGGCATTGTGGATATGTGGCCACTTTCCTTTCAAGAGATATGGTGAATGTGTCGATCACTTTCATGGCAGATTCACCCTGGCCTAATACAGGCGTTGGTATAGTCATAACAACGGCTTTGTCGGATAGCTCGGCCTTCGATACATGTCCCTCTCTCCTCCTCTCTCCCCCTCTTCCTTCTCTCTCCTCGTTCCTGTTCCCTCCCTGCTCATCTCTCCTTCCTTTCCCATCCCTCCATCCCTCCTCCTCCCCTGCAGCGGCCGCTACCTGCCCTAGAGATGGCGAAGCGCTTCAAGCTCTTGCGCGGCCGGCGAGTGGACGGGCGCGCTGCGCCACAAAGTGTCAGCATCAGTATCAGTATCTTCTCCTCTCCCTCCTCATTCCCCTCCTCCTCTCTCCTCTTCTGGGCAGAGTCCTCCCTCCTCCCGCTCTCTTTGTGGGGCGCCTCCCGTTTCCCCCCTCCCCCCTCCACTGGAGGTCGCCGAGGGTCACGCGGGCTAAGGAACAGCGCCTCACCCTTTGTTTCGCCGCGGCCCGGCGCCACCATGTCCTCCGTGGGCTTCGCGTCGCCCCTGCTCTCCCAGGCGTGTGCCGCTTGCTCGTCGGCGTCGTCGATCCGAAGGTCGCGAGAGGGTTTCTGGACGCCCTCGTCGCCACGGCCCGGTGCAGCTCGAGAAACCAGGCAGGGACTTTGGGGAAGCAGTGGCCAAGACCCCACGCATCGCGAAACGTTCACGGTGGGCGCTTCATGTTGTTGCCGTTTCCTGCCTGCAGCGGGCTCTCACCAGGTTTGCGGGCCGCCAGACCACAACTCCAGATGGCAAGCCGGTCCTGGGGAAGTTGTCAGGACCTCTGGGGGTCCGCGGCGTGCGCAATCACGGTCTGGGCAGAAGGAGAAGGGTTTCGATTGTTAAAGGGGGGTCTAGGGAGCTCCAGGGAGTCGAGCGATGGAAGGGTATCGGTATCGATGCGTCTCTTCACGTTGGGGGGCGGAGGTGTTACGCTATGCTCCCCCCCCCCATAACGGTCGTTATCGCCGCGAATCAATCACTGTTTCTTTTTGCTGCCCTCCCAGAAAAAAAAGACCCCGAGCCCCCAGTGGTGATGACCGGCGCGCGGCGTCGATGGGGGGTCGAGGTCGGCCTTGGGGGGCGCCAGGGGCGGGCGTTTCCCTCTTCCTAGCGTTTGAATTGTGTTTTTTTCGCCTAGGGGTTCGCTTTCTCGCTTGCGCCGCTAAGTACGGTTCATTTCACAGAAGGCATACGCAACAATACAATAGTCAGCACCATACCACCAGCCTTGAATTTAGCCCTGCAGGTGGAATTGTACGTGCACATGCGTGCAAATGTCGGTCACACACACACACACACACGCACTCACATATATGCACACACCCACACACGAAAATCATGTTGACAACCATACACGTGCACATGTAAGGAGGTTGTGTTGTGTTCTCAGCTGTTAGATTCAAACGCTTCCTCTTGGTTCAGACGGTGCCGCACCGACGGCCGATTATGCATACACTGGCTGTGTAAAACACAGCGCCGTCGCCGCTGCCTTGGCCCTCGCCCCCCCCCCCCCCTTGCGCCGGGCCTCCTGGGGCGCTCCGCGGGCGTTCGGCTGGTGCCCGGTGCTTCGTTGCCGCCCCGCGCTGGGGGGAGGGCATGTGCGGCCCGCGCGGAGGAGGAGGAGGGGCAGTACGAGGAGGAGGAGGAGGAGGAGGAGGAGGAGAAGGAGGCGGAGGAGGAGGAGGAGGAGGAGGAGGAGGAGGAGGAGGAGGAGGAGGAGGAGGAGGAGGAGGAGGAGGAGGAGGAGGAGGAGGAGGAGGAGGGAGGAGGAGGAGGAGGAGGAGGAGGGGCGCCCGTTGGCAGGGCCCTCCACCCCTCGGTGGGCCCGCCCCCCCGCCGCTGCGCCAGGCAGCCCGCCCCCTGCCGGCGGCGCCGCCCGCGCACGGCCTCGCCGCGGGCGCCCGCGCGGCGGCCCCCCCACGGGCCGGCGGCGGGCCTGCGCTCGCCGCGCCCGCGGCGCTCGCCGCCACCGCGGCGGGTGCCCGGCCTCGGGCGGCGGTTCGGCCGAGCGACGCCCGCGGCGCTACACCCAGGTTTCCTATCGGCAGCTTAGCCCCTCGAACCTCGGGCGGATCGCGGACTTTGGGCCTCGCGAGGCCTGAGCCGCTCAGGCCGCCCTCCGCCTCCTCCTCCTCCTCCTCCTCCTCCTCCTCCTCCTCCTCCTCCTCACCTCACCTCAGATGCCGACGCAGGCCAACGCGCTGACACAAGCCAGGCGGAGTTTGTGCGCAGTTGTTGGCCTCTGGAGGCCCTCGCCGGGCCCAGAGGCGGCGGTCAAAGAACGGCTCGGCGTTGCAGTTGCAGCTTCGCTACAGGAGGCATTTCAATCCGAATCAGAAGTGCGTGGGTTGAGTTTTTATGTTTCAAGCAGTTGTTCACAGCGCGATGGTGCTCGTTAAACAAATCGCCAGCTGTTACCCCATCGCGTTGTTTCTCCAACGCTGCTTTGTCGCGCTGGCTCTTGGACATTGGTAACTCCGCTGGAGTCACGGCCTCGACTGCCTAAACTGATTATTGAATCTCTACGGCCAGCGCAGATTGCTGATCCTCTCCTCGTTGCCTCACACGTTTTTTCTGTTATCCTTCCTCATCCGTATATCCTCTCCCCCTTCCGCTCCCGTTTTCCATTCTCCCGTTGCCTCCGCCTCATCCGTCTGAGGGGAGGAATGAAGGACGGAAGCAAGGAACGATGAGGAAGAGCAGGAGGAGGCGGGAGCAGGAGGGAGGAGAGGGAGAGGAGTGAGGGTGGTGAGCAGGCGTGTACAGGGCCTTGGCAGGGCTTTCAGGGAGTCCAGGGTCGATTCGCGCGGGATTTTGCACGTAGCTCCCCGCAGTCGTGGATAAGAGTGAGGGGGCGGCGGGGACGGCGGCAGTCTGCGAGGTTCTGAAGAAGCCCGCCGCAGGCGCCAAATTTCTACAAGCTGTTCAAAGAGCCTGCCGCAGGCGCCGATTTTTCGTTAAAGCAATGTGGGTGGGTCGCGGGTGTGTCGCGGGTGTGTCGCGGGAGGGTCGCGGGTGGCTCGCGGGTGGCTCGCGGGTGGGTCGCGGGTGGGTCGCGGGGTGGGTCGCGGTTGGATCGCGTGGTGGGTCGCGGGTTGGGTGACGGGTGGGTCGCGGGGTGGGTCGCGGGAGGGTCGCGGGTGGGTCGTCAGTGGGTTGCCAGTTGGTCGCGGGTGGGTCGTGGGCCAGTTTGCGGGGGGGAAGACAACAAACAACAACAGCAACAACAGCAACATCACCAACAGCAACAGCAGCAGCGACAACAACAACCGCAGCAGCAGCAGCAACAACACCAACACCAACACCAACCCCAACACCAACAATACCACTTCCACCATCAACAACACAAACAAAACACAACACCACCACCACAAACAACAACAACAACAACAACAGCAACAACAACAACAACAACAAACACAATCCTCACCGCAGATCCTCACTTAGCCACGCGCCCAGGGACAGTGAATGACCGTGCCGCTCCCTCACTGATATGCGCTGCGGGCCTGGCCTGGGTGCGATCCCGCAGCGCGCCACCTGGAGCGTTCACTCATGCGTCATGCTGGTCGGGGTGCACGCCCCGCGACGCTCATAATGCTCTGACGAGGGTCCGCCGCAATTTCCTGAGGTTCGCGCGGCGCTAACGCGGCATCTCAGAAACGTTCGGCATGCCACCGCGAGATTTCAAAGATCCGCGCTGTGCTTTCAATCAAAGTGCTCCGCGCGAGATTTCGGAGGTCGGCTCCACCCCTGCGTGCGTCTAGTCACGTCTAGCCAGGTTATGTTGGTCAGGTTTGTATGTTTGTATATGTTGGATGCAAGTTCGGTTCATTCGGGTGTTTTGGGTACACGTGTGGTTTGCAATTGGCCTGCTATAAGTATGTTTTGACATTTTCTCATAGCGTGGATGCTGACGGCCTGAGTGGCGATGAGGACTGTAACTATACGTGCACCCCGCATTCGCGGATAAGAGTGAGGGGACGGTGGGGACGTCGGCAGTCTGCGAGGCTCTGAAGAAGCCCGCCGCAGGCGCCTATACTTTGCACGTTATTCAACGAGCCTGCCGCAGGCGCCGATTTTTCGATAAAGCAATGTGGGTTGGTCGCGGCTGTGTCGCGGGCAGGGTCGTGGGTGGGTCGTGGGTGGGTCGCGGGTGGGTCGCGGGTTCGCGGGGGGGACGTCAACAAGAAACAACATTACCAACAATAACAATTATTTTAATGTTGTTCGCTCTTATCTGCTCGCGTGCCATTCAAGACGCGTGTTCCAAACACTCGGTACCCACCCTCTTCGGCTTCGATCGTATCCCTTTTGGGGTAGATCTTTCTCACCTGCAACGTGCATTCCGTGCAGCACCTAAAGCTGGGGAAGAGGACGGATGGAAGGAAAGGACCAAGGGGGAGAGAGGAGGATGGAGCACCAGAGAGAGTAGCAGGAGGGTGGCTAGGAGCAGCAAACACGTGGCAGAACCAGACGGGCAGATCGAGCGGGTAGACCCTAACAGGCGGACCCAGGCGGCCAGGTCGAGCAGGCGGGTTGCTGAAGCGTGCGTCCTGCATGAATCGCGAGGAAACCTTGAGATTTCAGAATAAATCTGGTGAGGCAATCCAAGACGAGAGCGTGATGCCTGAGTTTCGAGGGCGCGGCGCCTGCATCAATTGCGAGGAAGTCCCAAGCGACAGCGCGATACCTGAGCGTCGAAAGCACGACGCCTGACTAAATTGCGAGGAGGTAGAAGGCGAGAGCACGATTATTCAATACATTGCGAGGAGGTCCGAGCGATAGCGTGAGTCTTCAATACATTGCGAGGAAGTATCAAGCGGGAGCCGCTGTTGATAGAAACCGGGGGCCAGGGGCACAGTTTGAGCAGGAAGGTGTTCTGCGGTAAAAACACAGCGAGCCCCGGGAGGGACATTTCAATTGAAAAACGCGTATGTTACGCGAATGCGTGAGTCTTGCATGATTCGCCAGGATGTCTCAGGCGAAAGCGCGATTCCTAAGTAAATTATAAGGAAGTCCCATGCAAGAGCGCGATTCCTGAATGGCGAGGGCGTGGCGCATGAATCAATTGCGAGGAAGTCAGAAGCGAGAGCGCGATCCTTGCATAAACTGCGAGGAAGTCCGGAGCGAGAGCGCGATCCTTCAGTAAATTGCAAGGAAGTATCAGGCCGGAGCCGTCGTTGTAGCTCGGGGGCCAACAATGCAGTTTGAGGAGGGAAACGTATCCTGATAAAAACAGGGTGCGAGGCCCCAGCAGGGGCATTTCAAACGATAAGCACATATGTTACCGGAGGGGGGATCAACAATCATGATTCTTCAGGAATAAAAGTCCAACAACAGAAAACAACAACAACAACAACAACAACAACAATCATTTTACCCGAACGCTCAGTGTTCTCACCAGTGCCAGGGTTTTCATGCGACGCGAGACAATACCCCCACTTCGTGGGGGGGCAGTTCAAGCTCTACCAAATATCCAAACGACTCTTCGCGACCACCCAAACCCAGCTTCCCGCCCTATGACGTTGGGACACTTCACTTCGTGGCGTGCGGACGACCGTGGCTACTACACTGGCGTGGGGTACACACCCACAGAACTTGGTCACTTATTCGGGGCGCGCGTGTGCCCAGCATCCTGCAATTGTGACATACAATACATGACACAGACAGACAGAGAGAGAGACAGAGAGCAGACAGAGAGAGAGACAGAGAGAGCGGAGTTGGTCACATTTTTGGGGCAAGTTCCTGAGATCGTCGTGTTTTTTGTTGGTCTTGCGCGCGCGAATGTCCACTTTACTTTTTTTTGCAAGGGAGTATTGAAATTTGATTATGTTAGAACAAGAAAAAGTAGCTCGCGCGAGCTCATGTAACATAAATGTTGAAAAACCATTGGTTTTGTGGGAGTCGGACAGCGCGCGCGGGATGAAATTTGGACATTTTTTTTTGAAAAACCATTGGGTTTTTGATGTTTTTATGTTGAAATCGTTACGAAACCTAAGGTTCTGGAAGGATTTCGTCTTGCGCGCGCGAATGTCCACTTTACCTTATTTTTTGCAAGGGATTATTGAAATTTGATTATGTTAGAACAAGAAAAAGTAGCTCGCGCGAGCTCATGTAACATAAATGTTGAAAAACCATTGGTTTTGTGGGATTCGGACAGCGCGCGCGGAAGGACATTTTGACAATTTTTTCTTAAAAAACCATTGGGTTTTTGATGTTTTTATGTTAAAATCGCTACGAAACCTAAGGTTTTGGAAGGATTTCGTCTTGCGCGCACGAATGTCCACTTTACCTTATTTTTTGCAAGGGATTCTTGCAATTTGATCAAGTAAGAACAAGAATTTTCATTTTATAGTGTTTTTTGCAAGGGAAAACGGATTACAACAAAACAACCGGATCCGGTGACAATCCACTTTTCTGAAGCTTTCGCTAGAAAATGAAGGAAATGAGGCTGCGGCCTAGGTTTTGGAGGGGGGTCGCGCACCAGGGGTCTCAACAATAATATTTCTTTAGAAGTAATAATATTCAACAACAACAACAACAACAACAACAACAACAATTACTAGCACGTGGGGACACTCCGTTCTCACCAGTGCCAGGGTTTTCATAGGAGGCGGGCAATACCCCCACTTTGTGGGGGGGCCGGTTCAAGCTCTACCAAATTTCCAAACGACTCTTCGCCACCACCCACACCCAGCTTCCCGCCCTATGACGTTCGGACACTTCACTTCGTGGCATGCGGACGACCGTGGCTACTATTCAGGGCCCCGCGGCCGACGACGACGGCGTGCGCGCGCGAAGAAAAAACGAATGTGTCCCGCATGGTATTATTTGACAGGGATGATGGCCCTGGCAGGTGCGCAACCGTTGTCGCAGAAGTTCGAAAAAGTTGCTCGCAAAAGCCCGTTTGACAGAAATGTTTAAAAAGTGTTGGGTTTCCTACGAATCCGCAAGAGCGCGCGGGATGAGATTTTGACAATTTTTTGTTGAAAAACCATTGGTTTTTTGATGTTTTTATGTTAAAATCGCTGCGAACACTAAGGTTTTGGAAGGATTTCGTCTTGCGCGCGCGAATGTCCACTTTACCTTATTTTTTGCAAGGGATTCTTGAAATTTGATTATATTAGAACAAGAAATGTCATTTTCTATTGTTTTTTGCAAGGGAAAGCGGATTACAACAAAACAACCGGATCCTGTACACACCCTCTTTTCTGAGGCTTCCTCACGAAAATGATGAAAATGTAGCTGCGGCCTAGGCGGCGCAGGGGGGGCGCGCACCAGGGGGCCCAACAATAATTATTCTTTAGAATAAATAATGTTCAACAACAACAACAACAACACCACCACCAACAAACAGCAGCAGCAGCAGCAGCAGCAGCAGCAGCAACAACAACAACAGCAACATCCACATCAGCAACAACAACAATCCGCACCGCAGAATCTCACTTCAGCCACGCGCCCAGGGACAGTGAATGACCGTTCTGCCTTCTCACTCTGATCAAACTACGGATTCATAACGAGCGGGTAATGTACTGGTTGGTTGGGCGACGCCGCAGGGCATTCGACACTCGTTTTTGCATTGGCGCGATTCCGCACAGCATCCGTGACGACAGCGCGGGTTTCTTGGCGGACTTGCGTATTTGGTGATGCGCCGCGCAAAGCCGAGCGTGATGCCCCAGAGGCCGCGCGAGCCTCGCGCTAAACCCCCCTCTCGCCGGAACAAGACAGGCTAGGCGCGTCGCGGGGCCGTTAAGAACAGGATTGGGCACGAAGGATGAGGGAGGAGGGGGGGAAGCATGAAGAGGCGGGGGCGGACGAGCGCGGGAGCTGCTGATCGCACTTGCGATTGAGAGGAACGACGACGGCTTGCTGCCACTGCTTTGGTCTCCCTCTGCTTCGCCTGGTGGCACTGCAACGATGCCTCGTGTTGTTCCTCCGGCGCGCCCCCGGCGGTCCCGTGCAGACTCTGGCCCTTGCGCAGAGGGTACCTCGAGCTGGGGTGAGTAATTACTGAAGCTGGCCCGCTCATCAGGCGGCGGGTGGGGAAGTGGGAGGGCATAGGATGAAGATGGAGGTGAAGGCAGAAGGTACGATGACGGAGGAGGAGAAGAACAAACAAGGAGGAAAAGGAGGATGGGGAGAGCGAGGAGGAGAGGGGAGGAACGATGACGAGTAAGAGGAGACGAAGAGCGAGGAGGAGGACCAGGATAATAACGAGGAGAAGCAGGGAGGACAAGGAGCAAGATGAGCGCGGGGAGGAGGGTGGCAGAGGAAGAGTTCCAACAGAAGGAGGGGGAGGAGAAGCAGGGTTCACCGAGCGCGTTCCACTACTCGAAAGTGCCTACACATGCATGCCCGATGCAAACGATCGTAATTTCCGCTGCGAATGCAGGCCATTTGCGAGCATTTACTTTGCGAGTAGTGGAGCGCTCTTGTCGAAGGGTGGCCTCGCCCACTCCCCTCAAGCAAACTTGAGCCAAGGTGTGCACTGCAGGACGGCGCGGCGTCACCGCCGCCGGCACCAGGGGCAGCCGATCAAGGTGGCCGCGGGAGGGGGAGGGACTACGTCGATACGTCTTGACGCGAGGAGGAGGAGGGCGCGGATCAGTGCAAAACAAAGTCGCATCAACGAAATTGCAATAGACCCTCCCTCCAAGTTCCCTCTTCAGAGCCCCCTTGTAAGGATCCATTCTCACTGAGGGAAGTACCCCGTTGGAAGACAACCGTTTGAAAAGCCTGAGCTGTGACAGAACACCATTTCATGGAGTTCAACACCTCGAAGTATCGTTTCTGTTGCATCTTGAAGATTCTGAGTCGTGGCGGAACACAATTCTTGGGACTTCAACACCGCGTGTCAACGTAATTGCTGCGCCCTGCCAGTCCGACATCGTGCCGAAGTGCAATGTCTGTGTACCCATGAAAGTGTTTGAACCTTCGTACGCTGTTCAGACGAATGTGCAAGGCGCTACAGCGATAGCCACGTTTTGAAAAGGTGCCGCCCTCCATCCGCGAAGCTCTTGAAATGTCTTAAGATGAATGTGCGCGGCGCTAAGGCCAGAGCCACGTTTTGAAAAGGAGCCGCCCTCGATCCGCGAAGCCCTTGCATTGTTCTAGTAAGAATGTGCGCGGCGCCAAGACAATATATATATATATATATATATATTGAAAGGAGCCACACTCCGTCCGCCAAATTCTTGCGATGCTTGAGCACAAAGATGCGCGGCGCTAAGACAAGCGCCACACTGTAATTTGAAAAGGGGCCGCCCTCCATCCGCAAACATCGTGCAGTTTTTGAGCACAAATGCGTGCGGCTCTAAGGCGAAAGCCACATTTTGGAAAGGGCCCGCCCTCCATCCGTGAAGCTTCTTCGGCGCCGACATTGTCATGTCGTTTGGGATCTGGTTGTTGGCCGCCCTGCTGATCAGTGGGTGTGGGTATGCGTGCGCTCTGAGAGCAAAGTGCTTCATATTGTGTAGGCCAGGGGGGGCTCGTCCTGCCCCCCATTCCTTCCTCCCGCCCACCCTGCTCCGACCTCTCCTCTCCACCTCTCCTGCGTTCCTGTGGGAGCGCGTGGGGGGTGGGGGTAAAGAACAAGACGGGGGAGAGGAAAAGGGCATTCCGATGTATGTTGCTCTTTGGTCTGCTCTCGCTTTCACGGCTGGGTCCGCCTTGAAGTCCTGTTCGTATAGCACGCAGAGAGAGGCGCGGGGCCGACTCTGAGTGGGAAGGAGGGGATCTTTCGTGGTGGCATCACGAGCTCAAGTATGAAGGCTCATCGTTCCGCTAGCAGCGGAGCACGCCTCCCGCCCCACGTTTTAGCTGCGTCGCCACGCGATACACCTTCGGCGAAGCCAGCGTGTATCATATAACGGCGGGAAGCGGGTCCTCAGACCCCGGGCCAGCACATGCCCACATGCGTCTCCCCCAGCCAGCACAGCGTTTCGTGGCCCTTTAGGGGGCTCCACTGAATGCCCCCGTGGCGGTGTCCACGTGCGTCCCCCCACCCAGCACAGCGCTTCGTGGCCCCAGAGGGAGCTCCACCGACGGCCCCAGTGGCGGTGTCCACATGCGCCTCACCCACCCAGTGCGGCACTTCGTGGCCCCATGGGGAGCTCCACCGAAGGCCCCAGTGGCGGTGTCCACACGCGTCCCCCCGCCCAGTGCAGCGCTTCGTGGCCCCATAGGAAGCTCCGCAAAGGGCCCCAGTGGCGGTGTCCACATGCGGCTCCCCCACCCAGCACAGCGCTTCGGGGCCACATGGGGAGCTACACCGAAGGCCCCAGTGGCGATGTCCACATGCGTCTCCCCCAACACAGTACAGCGCTTCGTGGCCCCACAGCGGGCTCCACCGAAGGCCCCAGTGGCGGTGTCCACGTGCGCCTTTGCAACCCAGCACAGCGTGTCGTGGCCCCATAGGGAGCTCCACCGAAGGCCCCAGTGGCGGTGTCCACATTCGTCCCAACACAGCGTTCCGTGGCCCCATAGGGAGCTCCACCGAAGGCTCCAGTAGCGGTGCCCACATGCGCCTCACCCACCCAGTGCAGCACTTCGTGGCTTCATAGGGAGCTACACCGAAGGCCCCAGTGGCGGTGTCCACACGCGTCCCCCCACCCAGTAGAGCGCTTCGTGGCCCCATCGGGAGCTCCACCCAAGGCCCCAGTGGCGGTGTCCACATTCGTCTCCCCCACCCAGCGCTGCGTTCCGGGGCCCCGTAGGGAGGTCCACCTCAGGCCTTAGTGTCGGTGTCCACATGCGTCCCCCCCAACTCAGTACACCGCTTCGTGGCCCCATAGGGAGCTCCTCCGAAGGCCCCAGTGGCGGTGTCCATATACGCCTCCCCCACCCAGCACAGCGCTCCGTGGCCTCATGGGGTGCTCCACCGAAGGCCCCAGTGGAACAGTTCACATGCGTTTCTCCCACCCAGTATAGCGTTTCCCCCTCGGGAGCTCCACAGGAGGCCCCACTAGAACAGGTCACATGCGTCTCCCCCGCCCAGTGCAGCGCTCGAGGGTTGTCTGGGAATCTGATGGGGTGTTGTACATGTTTTTTTCTGGTAGGCTGCCTTGGCGAATCGCTGCGAAGCCCCAAGTTTGCTGAGAGATGACACCATGCTCCCTGCAAAGATGGATCGGCCAACGTCTGCTTATGTGTATCTGGTGCATCGCCTTCACAGCGCTGAGGCACGTGAAGATTTTACGTGAGCCATGGTAAAGCCTCCCAGCGCGACTTCTGATGAGTTTTGGCGCGATATCCTCAAATGAAGTGTTCGTTGTATGACAGTGGGAGACAAGTGTTGCTTCACGGGGGGGGGGGGGGGCGAATTGTAGGAGCCTGGAGGCAGCACCACACGGGGTACATTTTATTTGCTGATTGGCCGCCAAACGTTTTTTTTGCCGTGGACGAAACGTAATTTGGAGGATCGCGTGTTGGAACGTATTGCCACCCAGGAAAGACAGCCTCGGAATGCGGCCTTGCCTCGCACGCGTGCGTGTCCTTGGAGCCTCCTGGGGCGCAGCGCATGCTTCAGGGACCGCCGTTCTGCACAGCCCCCCCCCTCCTGGCGAAATGCGGAGCTGGCCAGCCTGATGTCGCCCAAGCCGCCGGGCTCCTCCGTTGCATCCCGTGTCTCCCGTGCTCGTTGGCGGCCTTCAACGCGCAGTTTTTGCGGCGCCGACCGCGTGGGCAGGGTGTCCCGCTGCAGGGGTCGTTCGGCCGTCCGCGCCAGGGCGCCCAACAACGCAAAAGAAAATGCGCTGGCACACCAACACCTTCATTTTTTGGTCTCCCCTGCGCCGCCCCGAAGGCACTTCCAGAGTGCCTTCGGCGCGCGCGACCGTGCGCGGCGCCTTTCTGCGCCTCCTTTGCGCGGCGCCATCTGGCTCCCCCTCGCCTCGTCGTCTTCGCGTGTGCCCGTCGCCCCGGCGCGGCCCGCCGGCTCCCCGAGCTTGTCTTGCGCTTGCCGCCGCGGAAGGCCAGCAAGCGGTCGTCGTCGGCGCTGGCAGGCTGCGAGGACCCGCGGGGGGGGGGGCTTCTCAAGAGGGCAGGCGGCTTCTCGGAGGCCCCACGCGGCCAAAGGGGGAGCCATCTTCAGAAGGCTCCGCGGCCCTTGTAAGGAGGCCCCCCTGCCTTTCGAGAGGGCCCCCGCCCTCTGAGAGGGCCGTTCCCCCTCGCGCTGTACCCCGCTGCTGCGTGCGGTGCAGATCTCCGTGCACCAGAATTCGTCCCAGAAGTCTGCTTCGTCGGCAGGGTGCGTGCCCTCGCGAGCTGCACGGTCGTTGGCTTGCGCCCAAGGCGCGCAGATGTGATGCACCTGCCAACAGGGCACATGACTCTTGGTTGCATGTTGGGTGTCGCCGACCTCCCAATTTGTCTTGCGTCAGCGTCCCATGGATCTACGGCAGATCTCGTTGTCCCCATCTTCCTCGTCCTGCTCCTGCCATATTCCTCCTACTCCACATCCCCAGTTCCATTGTCTCTGTTCGCCTCTCCTTTCTGGACAGCCTCCTATATACTGGGGGGAGGTATGGGAAGAGCCGCCCAAACGGTGTTCTCGCCGCCTCTCTCCAGTGGCGCGCCCCAGGCGCAAGTGTCCTGCCGCGGAGCGCCTCCGGGGCTGATGTGGCAGTCGACGCACGGGACAGCGTGTTCGTTTTCGATATTCTCTGCCACGTTCCCCATCCGCATTCTCCGTGCCTTCCCTCTTTGATCTTTTCCCTAGACGATCCCCGTCGCATTCTGCATTCTCATCGCTCCTGTTCCTGCAGATTCCTCCTGTGTCTCCTGCTTCCCCCTGGAAGGGGTCACGACAGTGCGCAAACAAACTTGCCAGGTCGAAAAAACAAGTCCTTGCCCTGGGACATCCGTCACATGTTTGACGAACCCCACGACAGTTCTTCGGTTTCCCTTGAGCGGTATACTTCCCTCGTTCCTCCCCATCACTTTTCGCATTGCCCCACATATGTGTACCAATTCCCATTCACCGTCCTACACTTCCAAGCGGCCAGATACGTGCACCATTCGCTCTCTCGGATCATGGAAACCAGCCATACTTCCGGAGATTGTGGAGGTTTGCCGACTCATGGGGTACCAGACTGCTCGGCGGAAGTAGACACACGGTGTCCAATGGTGAGGCCATGGCGTCCCAAACGGACCAATATTACAGCAATGCGGTTTTGGATTGTCATGGCGCTGCCATCCTTCTGTGATGTGCACTATCGCCCAAGTCTGCTAGGGTTTTAGCGCTTGTGAAGCGCACGCAATGCTTGTAGATACCACGTGCGTGCACATTCAAGTTTTCAACCACATGGGCATGCGCACCCAGGCTGGATACGTGTTGCGTGTTGGCACGCGCTGCGTATCACAAAAGACAGGTGGCCGCCGAACGGATTTGTATGTGCGCATCCAGGTTCCACATCGTTCGCCACCAGCTCGGCTGTACGACGAATTCGTATCACACAGATATACCATACAGGCAAAACCTATACACACACTCATGTGCACATGTACATACGAAGGCCTCGAAGAGGGGGGCCTGAGGATTGACGAGCGTCGTCGCGGGCTCCTCCATGCGATCGCTGATTCCGACATGCTGGTCCGGGTCGGGCGGTGGACGGCGTGGTTCGACACTGCATTCTGCCTGCACGTGTGGGCGGCGCATGCCCATTTTGAGCGCCTGGGCTTCCTGGCGCGCGTCGTCAAGGCCCGGATCTTGGAGCACACGGACACGACCGAGATGACGGCGCAGGAGGCCCAGGACCGGTGCAGGCGCAGTTGGCAGCGGGAGTTTCGCGATATTCTCGGGGAGCCGGTTGTGGAACCTCCATGTCGTTTCATGCGTCGACGTTTGGACCGATGGCGCATCGGAGCTCTCCCAGGACATCGGCCGCAAAGGGCCCTGCGAGTTTTCCAAGTATTAGCCGGTAAAGTGCCCCCGCGAGTTCTGGCGGTTTCCCTGAGAACGCTTTTCAACGGCTGGTGCACGGGACGGCGATTCCAGCGCCCTTCCCACTGTATGTTCCGATGTGGTGGAGGGGATTCCATCGAGCATTATGTTCGGTGTGGATGCGTCCGCCAGTTTGCTTCCAGCACGTTGGCCCTCCCAGCCGCCACCGATCCGGTAGAGGAACTTTTGCTGTTCAGCGGGTCCAGTGGGGTCGCCGAAGGGGTGCTTGCGCGGCGAGCGGTGCGGACAGCGGCGGCGTACAAGCTACAGTGCACGGTTCGGCATAGCTCGCGCGAGGCCCCCCCGACGGCGGCCGCGCTGAATCAGGTGACCCGAGAACTCGTCCTCGGCCATGCGCGCGCCGCACGGGCGGTCGCTGCCGCCCACGTGCGCTGAGGCATGCGTCCGTTCTCCTTCCCTCTCCTCCCCTCTCTTCTTGCTGTCTGCTGTTTTGCTGTTGGGGTATCCTTGGACATTGCATTCAATTCGATCTCCGCGTCAAGCGCGGCTTCCGACCACACAGGTGGTCTTCGTCGGCACAGGGAGGCGTTTCAAATTTGCGTGGGCATTCATGAAGTTTGTGCCCATTTAGTTATACAACTCTCTGCGATGCCTCCGGGTCGATACGTTTCACAGGGATTCCGTAGCATTCGCCAATTTGTTGTTGTTTTTTTGTCTCCTCCTCCTCCCTCCCCTCTTGTTCCTCGCCCCTGTTCCTCGTCCTCCTCCTCGGCGTCCTCCCTCGCGCGCTCGTTGATCCATTGGAATTCCCAAGTGCTTCGTTCTGACAGTTTTCTGGTGCAGCTTGTCGGCACCGATGTCTTTAACAGTTTTAACGCCGGCGGGGCCTGCAGCCAGAGCTGATTGCACGAGAGGTCATCGAGTTATGTCCGCTTCGCCCCCTCTGCTGTCCTCTTCCTTCTCCCTAAAAGTGCGCTGGATGACAACAAATCATGTGTACATGTATATATATTCATATATATATATATAAATGTACATAAATAAATGCAGACATGCTTACGCACACATGTATACATCCATGCGTATGTGCATATATAGGTGTACATGTACACGTGCGTTGGGCGCAAGGTCAACATGTCATCGTTCGCGTTCGGTTTCTTGGCATGTGCGGCGGTTGGGATTTGCCACGCGGTGTTGCTACAATGGCGGCGTCCATCTCAACGTGATATTTTCTATGCTTTGCGTACCCCCATCAGCCCACCAATGAACGATGACCATACGAGTTGCTTTGATCGAGAAGGCGTACGCGACTGCAGTGGGGCAAGGAGGTTTTCAGCCGTCAACCTTCAGCTCTCGAGCCATTTAAGGGCGTCCACCAGAATGGCTTGTGTGGATGTTTCGAATTGCGAGCCGGTTGGAAACGTGTTGTGGCAATGTTTGGGCGTTGTTTGGGCCACGTTGGAGGTCTATTGGGGCCTCCTTGGGCCCCTCTCAGAGCTTTGTGGGTCCTCGTGGGGACATATTGGAGGAAATGTATCGAAGAGGGGCGTCACAAATTAGATTCGCACCGTTGGAGCCAGGGAAATCTCTTGGAGAGCTTTGGGGGGCGCCCTTGGGGGTGCCCCACCAATACGGTCCCTTGGGGGCGAACTTGGGAAAACATCGTCAAACAATTGTATTTCACAAGGTATATGCGTCTGAAGCCCATTGCGGCGACGATCAACGCCGTCCCTCAGGAGCACGAAACATCGCCTCATGCATTACCCATCACGGCGGCCTTGTTTGTAACTCTTTCGGGGAGACGTGGGACCATCTTGTAGTCCCTCTATTTTTGCGGCTCTCTCAATTCTGGCGATCGCGTAGCCATCTTGAGGCCTCAGAAGACCGCTGGGGATCGAACGGGCGAAACTGCAAACATCACAGGGCAACCGGTGTTATATTGTTGGCGATGCTGGCCTCTCCATGGCGTCCTTGGGGGCTGTGTGGCCACCTGACGCCGTTTTGGGACGGCCTGGAAGCCTTGTGAAGGCATGCTGGAAGCCATCTTGACATGCATTGTGCCGTTTTGGAGGTAGTCTTGGTCACTTGGTCCATGTTGAAACCAATTTGGGCCCATCTTGGGCGCTTCGATGGGAAGGCCGCCCCCTGTTTAAGCCCAGGGGAGGGGCTTTTCCCTGACCGTGCAGGCGGGCGGGGCGGACCCATCCATCTCTCCGTGGTCGACGAGACCGGCGTGCCCTGCCAGACGGCCAGGACGACACGAGACCCGACCAGGCCTGACAGCACAAGAACGACCAACTGTGGCAAGGCCAAATTAGGGGATACACGGCAAGACGCGACAGCCTCCCAATCGGGCCCAGATGTCCTCAAGACGTCCCCAAGACGGTCCCAGAGGCCACCAAGACGCCCCAAGACGGCCCCCTGGAGAACCCACACGAGGCCCCAAAGAGGCAAACATATTGTTCGTCAGATTGTTCGAATTTGTCATGCTCGCCTTCTCGGCCTTCAGGGCGTCCAAGACGGCCCCAGAGGCACCCAAGATCGCCCCAAGGCGGCTTAAGAGAGCGCCGAGACGGCCCCAACGTGGTCGCTTTTTCCCCCCAGGGTATCGCTCGTTACCCGCCCCCCCCGCTCCCCAGCATGTTGGGGGCGTGGCCTGGACCCCCCCGACATGTTGGGGAGCGGATCCCGCGAAGGTATGGCGCTGTGCTCACAGGCATGGCGTGGTGCCGAGAGGCATGCTTTGGTGCTCATAAACAAATGTGTTGTGGCGCTCGCAGGCTCACCACCTGCTGCGGCGCCGAGCTCACAGGCATGGCGTGGTGCTTAACGGCATGTGTCGGTGCACGCAGGCATTGGGCACTGTCGTGTGCACATGGACTGTGGTGCGCGCAGGTCATTGCTGCGCCGTTGGCGCGGGCGCACCTTGGCGGGTGCACGCCGCGGCCGCCGTTATTGTTACCCTACCGCCCGACCCTCCCCCCGGGGTAATGACCGTTACCCCGGGAAAGAAAAACAATTGTCAGAAGACCGACCATGCCATCCCCAAGACGGGCCAATATGACCCCGAATTTCCCCAAGATGGCCCCGAGAGTCCCGCCGAAGTTTTGAATCGTGAAAAGTGAATTGTAGGCAAGTGTGGTTGGCACCAAGATGGCCCCAAGAGCCCCCCACAGGCCCCCAAGGCTCCCATCCACTGTAAGGTTCTGAGAGGCCTCCAACAGGCTCTAAGAGGCCCAAAAGAAGCCCCCAAGAGAACCCCGATAGGCCTCCAGGAAGTTCCGCAAGGCGTGGAGGCGTTTGCCGGCGTGGAGCTTGGGGAGGGGATTGTCCTCCCGAAGATTAAGAAGCGGGTTGGGTTGGTGCGAATACGGGCTCTTTGCGGTGAAAACTTGCAGGGGTCTTTGAGAACCGAATTTGCCACCATGCGTCAAGCATTGGCGAGGCGTCTTGCGGCTTGCCTATGGGCCCACTGAGAAGTTCTAAAGACCTTTTGTGGTTTGCATGAAGCGTTCTTGGACCAATTTTGGCTGAGATCGCCTTGATCGCATGCTTCGGCTTTGTGTTCTAAGATTTGCCGTGGCGTAGCACCCCCCAGTTGCGGTTAAGCGTGAAGGGGCGGATTGGACGTTTGCAGTCTGCGAGGTTCTGAAGAAACCCGCCGCAGGCGCTGAACTTTCCACAAGTCATACAACGAGCTCGCCGCAAGCGCCGATTCTTTCGTTGAAGAGATGTTG